ATCAAATGATGCTTAAAAAGACAAATCACAACCTGCACTGAAACGTCTTTTACATCAAGACTTAGAACTCAAATACATATATAAAATAAGCAAATTTCATTAAACACTATTTACCCTTCTTTGTGTGATACATTCTGTTTTTGTTTGTTTTTCGGGGAGAAACATCTCTATTGAGGGTCTGAGCTGGAGCCTGGACCCAGCTCAAGCCAGCTTCTAGAAGAGGTGGATGGTGCCATCAGCCCCCGAGGAGAACCCCATGGCTGGGTAGGGTGGAAAGCAACGTCCAGCACGCCCAGGTCTCGGGTCAGCGTGTGCCCCCTCAGCACCTTCCAACCGAGGGCCTCTGTTTGCTCTAATCTAGGTGGTGGGTTGGTATCGAGGTGGATGGAAATTTTGGGGCAATAGCCAAAGTCTGAGAAACAGAACTGGCCAGGGGCCCACAGCTGCGGGTTCTGCAGCAGGTCGTTGTACACCATCCCGTAACAGACGATGACATATTCTGTTGTGTTTTATATATATATATATATATATATATATATATATATATATATATATATAGTTTTACAGAGAGGAAGGGAGAGGGATAGAGAGCGAGAAACATTGATGAGAGAGAAATATCAATCAGCTGCCTCTTGCACACCCCCTGATGGGGATGTGCGGCAGCCAATGTACATGCCCTGGACCAGAATCGAACCTGGGACCCTTCAGTCTAAAGGCTGATGCTCTAGCCGAAACCGGTTTGGCTCAATGGATAGAGCGTCGGCGTGGGGACTGAAGGGTCCCGGGTTCGATTCCGGTCAAGGGCATGTACCTTGGTTGTGGGCATATCCCCAGTAGGGGGTGTGCAAGAGGCAGCTGATCAATGACTCTCTCTCTCATCGATGTTTCTAGCTCTCTATCTCTCTCCCTACCTCTCTGTACAAAATCAATAAAATATATTTAAAAAATAAAATAAAATAAAGGCTGATGCTCTATCTACTGAGCCAAACTGGTTAGGGCCATTCTAGTATTGTCTATACTGGTCTACTTTGTTGTTGTTGTGGTTTTTTAAAAAAATATATATTTTATTGATTTTGTACAGAGAAGAAGGGAGAGAGATAGAGTTAGAAACATCGATGAGAGAGAGTCATCGATCAGCCGCCTCTTGCACACCCCCTACTGGGGATATGCCCACAACCAAGGTACATGCCCTTGACTGGAATTGAACCCAGGATCCTTCAGTCCCCAAGCCGACGCTCTATCCATTGAGCCAAACCGGTCTCAGCTGTTTGTTTGTTTGTTTGTCTTTAATATATTTTATTGATATTTTTACTGAGAGGAACGGAGAGGGATAGTGAGCTGGAAACATTGATGAGAAAAAAATCAATCAGCTGCCTCCTGCACACCCCCTACTGGGGATGTCCCCACAACCAAGGTACATGCCCTTGACCAGAATCGAATCTGGGACCCTTGAGTCCGCAGGCCTATGCTCTATCCACTGAGCCAAACCAGATTCGGCTGTTTGTATTTTTTTTAAGTGGTAGTCATGAATGTTAACTGTTATGGACTGAACTGTGTCTCTTGAACATTCCTATGTTAATATGTTGAATTCCTATGTCCCTCAAAAATTCAAATTCTTTTTAAAAATATATATTTTATTGATTTTGTACAGAGAGGAAAGGAAAGGGATAGAGAGTTAGAAACATGGATCAGCTGCCTCCTGCACACTCCCTACTGGGTATGTGCCTACAACCAAGGTACATGCCCTTGACCAGAATTGAATCTGGGACCCTTCAATCCACAGGCCAACACTCTATCCACTGAGCCAAACCGGTTAGAGCGAAAATTCATATTCTTATAAGGTACCCCCTCAGGATGTGGTCTTATTTGGAGATACGGCCTTTACAGAGGTAATCACATTAAGATAAGGTCATTAGGTTGGGTTCTAATCCAATACAATTGGTGTCCTTAGCAAAAAGGGAACATTTAGGCAAAACCGGTTTCGCTCAGTGGATAGAGCGTCAGTCTGTGGACTGAGGGGTCACAGGTTTGATTCCAGTCAAGGGCATGAACATTGGTTGTGGGCACATTCCCACTAGGGGGCGTTCAACCAAACAGCTGATCGATGTTTCTCTCTCATCGATGTTTCTAACTCTCTATCCCTCTCCCTTCCTCTCTGTAAAAAAAAAAAAATCAGTAAAATATATATTTATTTTTTAAAAAGGAGGGACATTTGGAGATAGACTCATACCACGTGAACATGAAGACAGCCATCTGCAAGCCCAGGGGAGAGGCCTGGAACAGTTTCTCTCTCACAGCCCTCTGAAGAGACCAGCCCTCCCAGCAGCTGGATCTTGGATTTCTGTGAGCAATACATTTCTGTCATTTAAGCCGCTCGGTTTGTGGTGTTCTGTTATGGCAGCCCCAGCGAATTAATACACTCACCAAATTGATTTTGCGATTCAGTTGGGTTGCAACTGACCACAAACTTTGTGGGCAGTGTACTGACCACAAACGTCTCTTTCCCTGTGCTTTCTTTTGTGCAATCATAACAGCCACTCGGTGGATGGAAGGACCCAGAGGAGGATGTGGCAAGTTCAGCACTCACTCTCAGGGTCACGCAAGTGGGCGTGTCATTGCTGATAGTCTAGCCAACACTGCAATTGCACAAGCTGAAAAATGAGTGTCTCTTTAAATTTTGCATCCTAAACACTTCCCTTGCCTCGTCCATGTAAAGTAGATGCAACTATTGTCTCTATTTAAGGGGCTGACACAAAGTCCAAACTAAATCAGACCCAAGCTGATTTGCTTCCCAATTCTGGGTTCTTTCCATGACATCACAGCATCCCCATCAGCGGATGCAGTTGGAGAGTGTGACCACAAATATTGTTTGCCTACCAGTATGTGCTCCTCACCTTCCTACCCCCGAAAGGGGGCAAAGTTAGAGACTGCATTCACTCCGCCCCTTCTCTTGCAAAAGTTCGGGGGAACTTGGACCTTCTGAGACCCTTAGTTGATGACGCCTGAATTCAGCCACTGTGTGTGGATGTCTGCAGGCAGAGTGGGCAGCTGGGAGCACTTACAAGCCATGTGTGCTGTGCGTGCCTATGTGCACACACCGTGACCCTCGGACAGATGCCCTGCTCCCCCTCCTTTCAATTCACTGCCTTCCAGACTCAATCAACACACATATAGGCTTCGTCTTTTTTTTTTTTTTTTTTAATATATTTTATTGATTTTTTACAGAGAGGAAGAGAGAGGGATAGAGAGTTAGAAACATCAATGAGAGAGAAACATCAACCAGTTGCCTCTTGCACACCCCCTACTGGGGATGTGCCCGCAGCAGAGGTACATGCCCTTGCCCGGAATTGAACCCGGGATCTTTCAGTCCGCAGGCCGACGCTCTATCCACTGAGCCACACCGGCTTCCGCTAGGCTTTGTCTTTTTTTTTTTTTTTTTTTTCCTTCAATATATTACAGGGAGGAAAGAAGAGGGATAGAGTCAGAAACATCAATCAGCTGCCTCCTGCACACCCCTACTGGCGATCAAGCCAGCAACCCTGGTATGTGCCCTTGACCAGAATCGAAAATGGGACCCTTCAGTCCGCAAGTTCTATCTACCGAGCCAAACCAGCAAGGGAAAGAGTCCCAGTTCTTAATGGCCACCCTCTGCTGCCTGGCCGAGCCCACACATTCTGAGTTCTTGAACACACAGGCCCATCCACATGGAGCTCAATTCTAGGTATCAGTTCAGACACCAGGGGGCAGCATAGGCCTAGCTTTGGCCCCTCAACCCCGCCCTGTTTAGGAAGAGGTGGGGGCAGGGGGAGTAGAAACTTCGTCCGACCTCTGGGATCCCCCAGGGACCATCCTTCCCACATACCACTGTCTCTCAGGTTTCGGGGCCTGAGGCCTCTCGGTCTCCTGACCCCCCCCCCCCCAGCTCCTCCTCCAGCAAGAGCTGCAGAAATTACCCATGACTTATGACGATGACTCAAGCTGAGCAAGCCTTGTGTATGTGTCTCCTGTGGCTGTATGTGGCTCGGAGCGCTGACATGTCTGTGAACCTGCCTGCATGTGTGTAAGCTTGCGTATGTGTGGTCTGTGGCCAGGGAGCTGTTCATGTGTGTTTGTTTCTGGGTGTGTCTCAGTGTTTACTCCAGAAACAGGAACTTCACGAGGCTGCACAGCAGATTCGTATTCCAACTTGTCCCTCGGGAATCTGCAGGCACCAACTCCAGCCTCGCCCAATCCCACCGGGGTCAGCAGCCTGTGAGGAGGGGGCCGTCGGAGGCACTCTGGAGTTTTCCAGAATTCTGACCTTGGGGGTCCCCCCCTCCCATCCGTGGTCACGCGACCTCTAAGGCGTTCCCTGCCCAAAGGGAGGGGGACCCAGGCATTCTGTCCAGCGCGGAGCTCCCCTTGAGCTCCCCAGGAGTGCAGAGCCCAGAGGGACCTGCTTTTCCAGAGGCGCCGGGGCGCCCCGACCTCGTGAGCTCCAATGCGGGAGTCCCTGTGAAAGTCTGAGTTTGGGGCGGCATGTCTCTGCTTGATAGTAGGTGACTTTCTTGAGAAAAGTATCACTTTCGAGGGAACAGAGTAGGTGGGGGATCCGTCTCCCCTCCAGCCAGGCCCAAGGGCCCCAAGCCCCAGTCCTGTTCACCCCCACTTGGCACAGGAGGTACACACATACACACACACACACACACACTCACCCACTTTCTTCCTCTTCCTCCTCCAGCCTACTTTCTCTTCTCTGTGTCGTCAGAGCTCCAGGGAGGGACCTGGGTAGACCGAGAAGCCGGAAACAGCAGGCTGGGGCAGCCACTGCTGACACCGAGGAGGAAGGACGAGGGGGAGAAGAGAGAGAGAGAGAGAGTGTGTGTGTGTGTGTGTGTGTGTGTGTGTGTGTGTGTGTTTTCTTTTCTGTGGTGGTGGTGGTGGTGGTGGTGGTGGTGGTGGTGGTAGAGGCGGGTGCTGGCAAGGCCAGCCCTGAACTCGCTGGACAGAGCTACAGCCCCATGGCCTTGCAGTGCCTGCCGAGAGAGGGAGAAGACAGCAGAGAGGTTGCCAAGGTGAGGGGATGCCTCCGAGGAGGGGAGGGTGGGGGTCCTCTGACTTCCAGGGTGTGTGAGTGGCGGATGGGGGGTGAGCCCGGGGGCACCTGAGGATCCTCCCCTTGGCAGGGTGGATGGGCCACAGGAAACTGTTTCAGTTGGTGTTGGTCGCTGGTGGTACTGGGTTTGGGCGGTTTCGAAATCTCAGATGAATCTGCAGTGGGTACAGGCCCAGCACTCCTACCTCCCCGCCTTGGGACACTTTTTCCATCCCCTGACCCCCCCTAACCCCAAACACCACCCCACCACCCCACCCCTAACCACCACCAGCAGGAACTGTGGTCACGTCTGGGGAAGGAGGCAAGGTGGTGTCCCCGGCCCGCTGCGTGTGGGGGGAAGTAGCTGCCCCTCCCTGGAGGTGGATGCCAGTAGGGCCTGGACGAACCCCTATCCCTTTTCCCGAGGAAGGCTCCTGTTCAGGAGCTGGGGGGTGCGCGAGCCCTAGCTGTAGACCTCATGGTGCCCCGGACCAGGGGGAATTTCCCCCTCAAAGCTGCTCCACGCTTGGCCGCTGTAGACGCCGAGATTTCCCGGCGGCGCAGGGTTAACCTCCCTCGTGCGGAGCTGGCTCCGCCTCCCTCCCCCTCCCCGCCCCCACCGCCACATACACACATTGGGCAACTCGGTGGAGCTCTTTTGACTTTTGATCCTGTGGACAGGGGCGATCAGAGAGCTAGGGAACGGCCAGAGGGCTAGGGAGCGGAGGGGTTGAGGGGAGCAGATGCAGGCGGCGGAGCAGGGGATGAGAATCCCAGACACTGGGTTTTTCCTTTCTGTTTGGAAGGCAATGTCGGCTCCACCCCTTTAGGCCCTGGCTCTGGGTCCCTGACAGTCTTTATGGGGCTCCCCTGCTGACCAGCCCACGGACCCAGCCTCGTTCTGGGGTCTGAGTGGGGGGAAGTGTGGCCTCCTGGTGTCTGAGGACAGAGTAGGGGAGGAGATGTGAAGCCAGGGCCAGGCTAGGAGGCTGGTCCATGACTTAGGAATCACCTCAGTTCTCAATAGGGTAGGGGTAGAGGGTCAGAATCTTAGCTCCATGAGAAACATGAGAGGAAGAGAGAAGAAATAGAGTCTTCCCTTGAATTTGAAACAGACCAAAATGTACCCCTCCCCAATAAAGAAGGGCCTATTGGTCTGGAGGACCCTGAGCAAGCGGGGTGGGGTGTAGGGCGAGAATTCTGCTTTGGGGAGAAAAGAGAGGAGCGGGTGGAGGGCTTAGGCACAGGAGGGCAAGAAGATTATACTTTTGGGGGAAAAGAGCTGGAGGAGGAGGAGGGTTGGGGTTGGGGGGGGTCTTGAAGCAGGAATTTTCAGAGAAGAGGCTCCTCTGTTCTCTCTCTCTCTCTCTCTCTCTCTCTCTCTCTCTCTCTCTTTCTCTCTCTCTCTCTCTCTCTCTCTCGGAGTCCTGGGAGAAGGGAGAAGCTAAAAGTGCAACAGGAAGGTTTGGGGTTATTGAGCTGGGGGGAGACCCAGGGAGTTTCCATCCCCTTCTTCTCCCTCATCTCTAGGAGAAGAAGAACATTTCAAAAACATGAACTGAGAGACCCCTGGGAAACTGCTGGTATAGTTACCCTACCCTGCACCCTACTCGGAAAAGGGGCCATAAACATCTCCCCTACTTCTCCCGTCTCCTCCTTTCCTCTCTTTTCTTCTCTGTCCTTCGCCTTCTAGCATCCTCTCCCACTCTCTTAAACGCTTTCTTCCAGGCTTATAACCCCCACTTTTCTCCATTCTCCCACCTTCTTCTTGAGTTCTTTCTACTTTCCTCTTTGCTCCATCTCCCTTTCTTCCACCTTCCTCCCTCAGCCCTGCTCCTCAGGATTTGGATCTGGAAGGGATCCTAATAGTACAGTGTGATAGTTAATCCCCACTTGGATTCAAATCCTGATTCCAAATGTGCTTGCTGAGGGTCATGGACAGTTAGAGAACCTCCTTGAGATTTGTTTTCTTTCTTTTAAAAATTATCTTTATTGTTGAAAGTATTACAGATGTCCTCCTTTTTTTCTGCCTATTGAACTCCTCAACCCTGCTCCTACCCCCTTCCACACACTATTGTCTGTCCATGGGCTCTGCATATCCTATATAATAAAAGGCTAATATGCAAATCGACCAAATGGGCAGAACAACCACTTGCTGTGATGTGCACTGACCACCAGGAGGCAGTCACTCAACTTGGGAGCTGCCCCCCTGGTGGTCAGTGAGCTCCCACAAGGAGAGCGCTGCTTAGCCAGAAGCCGGGCTCACAGCTGGCGAGCGCAGTGGCGGTGACAGGAGTCTCTCCCATCTCCAAAGCAACGCTAATGATGTCCGACTGAAGGCTTAGGCCCGCTCCCCAGGGAGTAAGCCTAAGCCTTCAGTCAGACGCCCCGAGGGCTCATGGGCTGCAAAAGGGCACAGGCTGAGCTGAGAGACCCACTCGCCCCGAGTGCACAGTTAAGTGCGCCAGGCCTTTAGTATGCATGTAAGAAAATGGGTTCTTCATCTAGGAAAGGAGATAATTATATATTTAAAAAGCTGTTGTGAGGTTCTAATGAGATAACAGGCAATGCCTCATATATAATGAGTGCTTAATAAATGATAGCTATTATTGCTTCACCATACTCTTCTTCATTATCTTGCTGGCTAGTTTTCAAATAATCTAATGGAACCCTGAAATTTGGAGGAGTTTCTCAGGGTCATATTTAAGGTGAGGAGGTGGGGAGAGGCAGGAAGAAGTAGTAGAGTTCCAGGCCTACCACACTTGCTTTCAAAACTCCGATTTTGCCCTAGCTGGTTTGGCTCAGCGGAAAGAGCGTTGGCCTGCAGACTGAGGGTCCCGGGTTCGATTCTGGTCAAGGGCATGTACCTCATCCCTGGCCCTAGTCAGGGTGTGTGCGAAGGCTAAGGCTACCAATTGATGTGTCTCTCTCACATTGATGTTTCTCTCTGTCTCTCTCTCTCCCTTTCACTCTTTAAAAATCAATGGGGGGGAAAATGTCCTCAGGTGAGAATTAACCCCAAAAACTCTGATTTTATACCTGTTATGTAATTCGGATTACAAATATTAAAAGTATCCCTTTAAAGAGTTTGGAAAGTCCTGCCCCTAGCCAAGCATCCTATGTTATAGATGAGAAGACTGAGGCCCACGGAGAGGAGGACTTGCCCACAGAGCCAGAGCCAGGTCTAGAGCTGCAACCTAAGTCCTCTGCCCCCTCTCAGAGAGCTTTCCCTGATGCCCGATCTCTCCTGTCTTCCCACGCCTCTGCCTGCAGCTCCACCACCCTGTGTCTATCATTGGAGGGTTCACCTTGTCTCAGACACCAACCAAAAGTGTCCCTGGTGAGGGGGTCTGGCTGTGAGTGATGGTGGGGTGGTCTCGGGGAGAGCTATCTCCAGGTGGTCCCTGGCTGGCCCAGGACATAGGTCGCCTCCCTTGTGGCACTTCTCAGAGTGGCCTGTTCCTTTCCTCCAGATGCCCTGCAAACCCCAGATCATGTCTCTGTGGGGGTTGGTTTCCCAGATACCCCCAGAAAAACTGCAGCGGCTCTACGTCGACTTTCCCCAGCACCTGCGGCATCTCCTGGGTGACTGGCTGGAGAAACAGCCCTGGTGAGTCCCTGCTACCCCCATGGCAGTCCCCCAGGCCCTTCCTCACCCACTTTCCCTTTCATTAGCTTTTCTCTGCACCATTTCAGGACTCAGGGCCCATTATTTGATGTGCGGGAACCCAGATTTAGCAGGGAGTCTGTGTTGCATTAGCCAGACTATGCATGTCGACACCTGGAGTCCCCTACTCTTTAGAAGGCTGGACCAAAGAAGAGGGAGGTCAGGGCTGGGGCAAGGGCACTTCCTATCACAGCCGGAAGACTGGGGAGCAAGGCATGATGAGGGCTGCAGAGGGCTTGGGTGGAGAGAATAATCGAGGAAGGAGCCACTGAGCTGTTGGCTGTGGGGTGGAGGGTCAGGAGAGCTGATGAAGCCCTGACTCAGGGCCTCCTCACCCTGATCTTCCCACAGGGAGTTCCTGGTCAGCTCGGATGCCTTTTGCTGCAACAAGGCCAGCTCCCTGCTTTCTGCCACCGTCCAGCACCTTCAGGCCTCCGCCAGAAAGCAGGGGGAGGGGAGTGCCATCTTGCAGCATATCAGCACCCTGGAGGTGGGGGCCGCAGGGGGCGGGGACAAAGCTGGAGTGGGGCTGGGCTGGAGCTGGGGTGAGCACTGGCTGCTGTAAGGAAATCGGTTGGGCGCTGGAAACAAATTGGTGTTCCTATGGTTAGCGTTAGCTAGCATGCAAATTCGATTTTAAATGCATGCAAATGCAGGAAAAAACTTCTGGAGTCTACAGTTGTGTTGCCTTTCAGTGTGTGTGTGTGTGTGTGTGTGTGTGTGTGTGTGAACTGAGGTGGGGGATTAGAAGGGGAGACTGACACGGGTAAGAGCCAGGCTAACTCTGTCTACCACCCTTCCTTTCTGTAGAGCATCTATCAGAGGGACCCCCTGAAGCTGGTGGCCATATTTAGACAAATACTTCAAGGGGAGAAAAGAGCTGTTATGGAACAGGTATGGTGACACCCCATCTCCCACCCCAACTCAGTTCCCTGGAACAGTGGCTTACACCATGAGAAACTGGGAGAAACTTGAACTTCAGGCAAGGCTCAGGGTTCTAGGCCCGGGATGACTAAAGGAGGCTTCTAGGGTCAGAGTGAACCCATGCCCAGCTCAGGGACACTTCAGAGGAGGGATGGGGGTAGTGAGGCCTGGGAGGAGTGCAAGGAGCAAGGAGCAAGGAGAGAGGTCTTATCTTTGGGAGATTCCAAAAGGTTGGGAAGCACTGTCAAAGGGGAGAAAAGGGAAATGGTCTCTCTTCTCTGCAGAGCATGGCAGCGGGCACCCTTTTACGGAGTGGAGGCCGGGTAGAGAAGAGTGGGCAGAGTGTTACAGTTTGTGTGTGTGTGTGTGATTCCTCACTGAGGATATTTTTTCCATTAATTTTTAGAGAAAGTAGGAGGATGGAGGGAGGAAGAAAGAGAGAGACATTAATGTGAAAAAGACACATCCATTAGCTGCCTCCCACAAGCACACCTGCAGCCCAGGTACCTACCCTTGACAGGGAATCGAACCCGCGACCCTTCAGTGCATAGGCTGACGCTATAGCCACTGAGTCACACCAGCTAGGGCAGAGTGTTACAGTGGCTGACATCTGTCCCTCCCGTGCAGTTCCGCCACCTGCCAATGTCCTTCCACTGGAAGCAGGAGGAACTCAAGTTTAACACAGCACTGCAGCGGCTGCGGCACCGAGTGGGGGAGATCTGCCTCCTCCGAGAAGCCCTGAAGCAGGAGGCTGAGGCTGGCCAAGGTGGGCACCTGGGCCTGGAGCCCTCAGAGGGTTTGGGGGAGTGGGTGGGAGTGATTTCCTCTCAGACCATAACTGTTCCTGAACCTCAAATCGTCCTGTCCCCCTGATTTCTGCCCCCCCCTCAGTGTCTCTGCACAGCTTGATAGAAACGTCTGCCAATGGGACTGGGCCCAGCGAGGTGAGTAATGGCCCCAGAGGAGGCGCTTGAGCTCCAAGTGCCATCTTTGAGGGATTTCAGATCCGTGATGTGATGGAGATTAGACCCTAGGGGGGCAGACGGAGGTGGGGTGAGAGAATGCCAGAGAGGGAGAAAGAGTCCTTCCCTCAGGAGGGAGCTGGGTGCAGTCCTGGCTCAGGTGTTCCCTCCCTCGCCCCCCCCCCCCCCCCCGTGCCCGCAGGCCCTGGCCACGGTGCTGCAGGAGACTGTGGGGGAGCTAGAGGCTGCCCAGGCCCTGGTGCTGAAGAGGATCCAGATCTGGAAGCGGCAGCAGCAGCTGGCAGGGAACGGCGCGCCCTTCGATGAGAACCTGACCCAACTACAGGAGAGGTTGGGGCAGGGCTGACGGGAAGGGAAGAGGGTGGGGGTTGGCAGGTGCCTGCTGCTTCCGCTGGAGGACCCCCAGGTGTGAGAGAGAAAAAGCCAGTCAAGAGGGCCAAGACTCAGAGGAACCAGTCCAGGCAGAGCTACGCACCCTGTTGTTCAGAGCGTGTCCTGCACAAGTACGCCAGGCCAAAGGGGCACAAGTGGGAGTTCTTCCCACCCACACTGTTCCCTTCAGGTCCCATGCCCAGAGGGATGGGAATTCTTTTTCTATTTGGCCTATTGGGAAGAGCATCTTTTTAAAATATATGTCTTATTGACATTTTACAGAGAGGAAGGGAGAGAGATAGAGAGTTAGAAACATCACTGAGAGAGAAACACTGATCAGCTGCCTCCTGCACCACCCCCCCTGGGGGGATGTACCTGCAACCAAGGTACATGCTCTTGACCGGAATCGAACTTGGGACCTTTCAGTCCACAGGACGACGCTCTATCCACTGTGCCAAATCGGTTTCGACGGGTAGAGCATCTTTTAACTTGTGCAAAAGCACCATCCTTGCTTGCAGCTGATCCGGGTATCAGAGCCCCGGGGAACAGGCACCTGGGCTTCCACAGGAAGCGCCCACCCAGGGCCCTTTCGGCCCAGGTGCTGGCAGCCACACTCACGGTCCATCCCATCCCTCCACACACATTAATCTGCTTTCTTCCCGGTCTTAAGGGCAGGGCTTCTCGGCCAGGGCAGGTAGCCTGGACCCTGTGCCCCCTGACCACTGTCCTGCCCCCAGGTGTGAGAGCCTGGTGGACATTTATTCCCAGCTGCAGCAGGAGGTGGGGGCAGCTGGTGGGGAGCTTGAGCCCAAGACCCGGGCAGCGCTGATGAACCGGCTGGATGAAGTCCTGCGAACCCTCGTCACCAGGTATGTGCCCTGTGAGCCCCAGGCTGGCCTAGAGCAGACCCCAGGAAGAAAGAGGGCTGGAGCTGTGGGGAGGGCTCCTGGGGAGGGACCCCTGCTGCTAACATTCCACTGTCCTCCCTCTTCCCAGCTCCTTCCTCGTGGAGAAGCAGCCCCCTCAGGTTCTGAAAACTCAGACCAAGTTTCAGGCTGGAGTTCGGTTCCTGCTGGGCCCACGGTTCCTGGGGAACTCTGCCAAGTTCCCGCTGGTCAGGGCCGACATGGTGACGGAGAAGCAGGCGAGGGAGCTGAGCAGCCCCCAGGGGCCTGGGGCCGGAGTGTAAGCTGGGGCTGGAGAAGGCCAGAGAAGCTTGGGGGACTGGCACCTACAGGAGGGAGGGAGGACCGTGGGATGAATGACCAAGGCAGAAGGGGAGGGTCCAATCGGTGTTGGAATAGGGTGAGGGGGACATCGTGATTGGGCCCAGATGGGATGCCTCACTGAAGAGCCCAGGCAGGGAAATGGAGAGGTGGGGCCGGAAGTCCACACCCTTCACCCGTGGACTCAGGCTCCTCTCCACACCTGGTCCAGCCCTCTCACTCTCTGACCTCCCCTGGCAGAGAAAGCTCTGGGGAGATCACCAACAACACCGTGCCCTTCGAGAACATTGGCTCTGGGAACTGCTGCTCCGCCCTGTTCAAGAACCTGGTGAGGGCTTAGGAAGCTGTGTGTGTGTGTGTGTGTGTGTGTGTGTGTGTGTGTGTGCGCGCGCGCGCGCGCCTTAAACTATGGGACTCTCCTTGGAGTGGCTGTTGGGGGCCCAGGAGTTTCTGTCCTCACTCCTGCTCCCCCTCACCCCATCCTGCAGCTTCTGAAGAAAATCAAGCGGTGTGAGCGGAAGGGCACGGAATCAGTCACGGAGGAGAAGTGTGCTGTGCTTTTCTCTACCAGCTTCTTGCTCGGCCCCAACAAACTTCCCATCCAGCTCCAGGTGAACCAAAGCTCAAGCCCTGCCCAGTCTGGGACCCCAGGGCCCCGCCATGCTACACACTGGGGCCCTCAATCCCCGTACCTTCAGGATCGCCTTATATCCTCTGAGTTTGTCCCACGTTCCAGGATGCACGGGGAGGAGCGAGAACAGGAGGGCGCGTACCATGGAATAACAGTGTAGTAGCAACGAGCACCTTTGATAGATCAGGTCACTGCTTTAAGTCACACACACACACACACACACACACACACACACACGGTGCTCACAATAACATTATGAGGAGGGTGATATCACTAGCCTCATTTTACCAAGGAGGACACTGAGGTAGAGAGATTGAGCAAATTTGCCCAAGTCTCACAGCTCCTAAGTGTTGGAGCTGGCGTTGGAAACCTGGAGGTCTGCCCCATGGCACTGGCTCACAATCACTTCTCTATAGTAAGGCCCTCATTGAGCTTTAGAAAGCATTTGAAAACATGCCATGATCTTTATATATATATTTCTTTATTGATTTCAGAGAGGAAGGGAGAAGAAGAGAGAGATAGAAACACGATTGATGAGAGAGAACCATTGATCGGCTGCCTCCTGAACACCACCCACTGGGGATCGAGCCCACAACCCAGGCGTGTGCTCTTGGCTGAAATCAAACCTGGGACCTTTCAGTCTGCAGGCTGACGCTCTATCCACTGAGCCAAGCGGCCAGGGCTTCCATGATCTTTTTTTTATTTTTTTTATTTTTTGCCCCCCCCCCCCCCCCCCGCCCATGATCTTTTAACTATGTTATGTGAGTCCAAAGCTTCCCCCTTAGAGCCAGCTCTCTAAGGAAGCCCTGGCCCCATTATGAAGAACCCTCTCTCCTCACCCCCACAGGCTCTGTCTCTGCCCCTGGTGGTCATTGTCCATGGCAACCAAGACAACAATGCCAAAGCCACCATCTTGTGGGACAACGCCTTCTCTGAGATGGTGAGGAAAGACTGAGGAGGGGAGGGGGCTGTAACGTGAGGATGGGGTGGGTTAGCAAGCATGTTCAAATGGGAGTGATCTTAACTTCTCATGCACTTCTGGCCTCTTTTCATACCGGTCTTAGCTATATCATGTTGCAGCACCCTAAACTGTAGGAAAAGCACCATCTTTGTGAGCGAGCTCAGGGGGACACCTGGGAGGGGCAGCCTTGGGGAGGTGGAAGGAATGAAGGACCCTCTTGAGTAAGAATGAGGGTGGTTGCCTGAGGCACCCTCTCTTTCCCCCTCCCCCCAGGACCGTGTGCCCTTTGTGGTGGCTGAGCGGGTGCCATGGGAGAAGATGTGCGAAACTCTGAACCTCAAGTTCATGGCTGAGGTGGGGACCAACCAGGGGCTACTCCCGGAGCACTTCCTCTTCTTGGCCCAGAAGATCTTCAACGACAACAGCCTCAGCATAGAGACCTTCCAGCATCGTTCTGTGTCCTGGTCACAGTTCAACAAGGTCATTGTCCTTCGGACATCCTGTCCCCAAGCTCTTCATCTCTTCAGGGTATCCCCAACCTCTGCCCAGGGACTGACTGCTGGGGTCTTCACCATGCCCTTTCATGTCCATCAGGAAGCTTTGTCCTGGCAGGAAATCCCATCAGCCCAGAGGATGCGTTTTCTGGCTTCCCTTAGGGTTTGGATGAGGGACCCCCTGTCTTCCCTCTTTACCAGTGACTTGGATGACTCACCCAGACTGTGTGTAAACACAGCTCAAAATAACTTTGACCCAGGGGGAAACAATTTCTACTGGAAAGACCAGGACGAAATCCCACAGGGACACACAGTAGTATCAGCAACCATGTACTGACAGCTTACTACAAGCCAGGCACTATGCTTAGCACTTTACACATTTATCTCACTTAATCCTTCCAACATCCCTTTGAGGTAGGTACTCTTATCGTTATTTTATAGACTAGGAATCTATTGCTCAGAGGGGTTCAGTAGTGTGTCTTAAGGCCTCCCAGCAGGTGAGTGGCATAGCTGGGATGAAACCCCATATTTCTTTCGTTTTCTTTTTTAATTTTTTTAAAAAAAATTTTTTATTGATTTTTCACAGAGAGGAAGAGAGAGGGATAGAGAGTTAGAAACATTGATGAGAGAGACTCATCAATCAGCTGCCTCCTCCACACCCCCTACTGAGGATGTGCGCGCAACCCTTGACCGGAATCGAACCTGTGACCCCTCAGTCTGCAGGCCGACACTCTATCCACTGAGCCAAACCGGTTTTGGCAAAACCCCATATTTCTGACTCTTGCTCTTAGCTACTATATTTTATTCCCTCCAAAATAAGATGGCCCCAGAACTGGGTCTGTTATAAGAACGGGGGAAGGGGAAGAAATCTGGGTGTCTTGGTTGGCCATCAGCAGGGTAAGTGCAGTCATGTTCTGCTCACTTAGAAAAAAAGGAAGGAAGAAAAGCCCACATGACCAGAGCATGTGTTAGCAAAGGGAGCCAGACACTCACACCCAGCAGGTAGCCATCTTCTCTGGACTCCACCAGGCTTCCTTGGGGACGGGTGGATCCTAGTGGTTATGAGGAGCTCCAGCCCAGACTTTCTGGGCAAAGGTGGAGTTCACCAGCCATGTGGACCTGGGCAAGTTATTTGACCTTTCTGGGCTTCCATTCTTTACTTCTAAGATGGGACAGCTGTAAGACCTACCTACATTACCTTGTAAAGATCAGATAAGTTAATTTATGGTAAGGGCTTAGAATAATGGCTGGCACCTGGTGAATGTGAGTATTGGCTGTTATCACTGATGGGTGTCAGGTCCAGTGTGGTGCCTGAGCCCTGAGACTCTGTCATGTGGGCACACACAGCCCATACTTGCCCTAACCAGGCTCCGGCTCTGGCCTTACGTGAGCTAACACCAGCTCTTCCCTCCCCCACAGGAGATCCTGCTGGGTCGTGGCTTCACCTTTTGGCAGTGGTTCGATGGTGTCCTGGACCTCACCAAACGCTGTCTCAAGAGCTACTGGTCAGATCGGTGAGTCTCTGCCGCAGGTGGTGTGAGCAGCTGTACCTCCAGCTCTCTCTTCCCATCCAGCACCTCCACCCCCATCCTCTCCTTCATCCTGGCCAGGCTGATCATTGGCTTCATCAGCAAGCAGTATGTCACCAGCCTTCTTCTCAATGAGCCTGACGGAACGTTCCTTCTTCGCTTCAGTGACTCAGAGATTGGAGGCATCACCATTGCCCACGTCATCCGGGGCCAGGATGGTGAGGTCACTCCAGCCAGTCCTGTCTGTGCCTCTGCCCTCTGCGAGTTCTTCTGAGAAGGAAACGTTTTAGCTTCCTTATGCCAATTCTTATCTTCAGAAAGTTCTTCTTTAGTTCCGACTTTTCTTCTTCCTTCTATGGTCAAAACTTCCACTTTCTCACTGTGAGCTTTGTGGGGATAGAGACTAGTGGGCCTCCCTCCCCAGGACTCCACTGGAGGTCCTCTCCTCCTTGCCTTGGTAGATTGAGTTCTGTGTGGGGGCTGGGAAAGAGGAAGAAAAAAAAATTTTTTTTAAAGGGGAAGGAAATCTGGGTGGCGTGGCTCAGGTCTCATTCCTTTTGTAGGTTCCCCACAGATAGAAAACATCCAGCCATTCTCCGCCAAAGACCTGTCTATCCGTTCACTGGGGGACCGGATCCGGGACCTCGCTCAGCTCAAGAACCTCTACCCCAAGAAACCCAAGGACGAGGCTTTCCGGAGCCATTACAAGCGTGAGCTGGAGCTGGCAGTTCTGACCCCCCTTCCTGTTGCCCACTCCTCCCTGGTCCCAGTGGCCCCCTCCCTGCCCGTTGTGTCATCTTGACTTCTCACCACATTTTTGTAGCTCCACTTCTCCCACTTGCCCATCATCCATGCCCACCTTCCCCACCTCCTCTCCAGCCTACCCCTGGAGCGCGCCACAGATCTCCTTTCTCCCCACAACAGATGAGCAGATAGGGAAGGATGGCAGGGGTTACGTCCCAGCGACCATCAAGATGACTGTGGAAAGGTGAGTGTGGTGGTGAGGATGACGGGTAAGGCCTGGTGCTTACTGGCAGGAAGGGGTGGTGGCCATTTGTCAGTTACTGTATCTCCTTCCCTCCTCCAGGGACCAACCACTTCTCGCTCCAGAGGCCCATATGTCTGCTATGCTGCCCACTTATGATCTTAGAATGGCCCCCGACTCCATGACCATGCAGCTCAGCCCAGATATGGGGTAAGGAGCATGAGAGATGGGGATAGAAGTGGTCGGTGCAGGCCGGCTCTCTGCACGGGCCCCTGGGAGAGCCAAAGCTGGGGACTGAAGGATGGAGTTTTCCTTCCCACGAAAGGGGTTCCTCATCCCGAGGCAGGGGCTGGGGGTGTCCAGAAGAAGAGCTGGCATCAAGGGATTCTGCTTTCTTTCCCCAGGCACCAGGTGTACCCACCGCACTCTCACTCTATCCCTTCATATCAAGTCCTCTCCCAGGAGGAATCAGGCAATGTGTTCCCAGAGTAAGTGCAGAACCTCTTAGGGATGGGGTGGGGATACCCAGCTGCAAAGGGGAGGGACATTCAAAGGTTAGGAGAGGCTCTTCTGGGAGAAGGGGGCAGCAAAAAGCTTTCTTTGTCTCTTCTGTTCACTCCATTGAGGCTCAGTGGTTAAGACCCAGACTTTCCTGGGTTTGGATTCCAGCTCTGATGTTTAACTGACTTCAGGCAAGTCACTTAACTGTGGTGCCTGTCTGTAAAATGGAGAATAATACCTTCCTCGTGGGATTATTGTAAAGGCTAAATGAGCTCATAATATGTGTACTGCTGAGCAAAGTACCTGGCTTATAGCAAGGGCTATATATATAAGGATTAGTATTCTCTCTTCTGCCCCTGGAATCCACAGTCACTTATTTGCTATCTTGATTTTATATAGAGGAATTTATATTTATATTCCTCTCTGTAAAAATCATATATATATATATATATATATATATATATATATATATTTGAAATCATATATACATATATATTTGATTTATATATATATATATGATTTCAAATATATATATGTATACACACACACACACACACACACACACACACGATTTTTACAGAGAGGAAGGGAGAGGGATAGAGAGTTAGAAACATCGATGAGAGAAACATCGATCAGCTGCCTCTTGCACACCACCTACTGGGGATGTGCCCTCAGCCAAGGTACATGCCCTTGACCGGAATTGAACCCGGGACCCTTCAGTCCACAGGCCGACGCTCTATCCACCGCGCCAAACCGGTCAAGGAATGCTATCTTGATTTTTATTTATCCATCTGTTTTGGCCTTGAAGTGGTCTAGACATTTTTATTCCCCAGCTAACACTCTTAGTCAAGACATTATATCTCCCTCCCGGGAGTTGAGATGGGGGAAACAGACCACCAAAGTTCAGAGTCCAAATAAGCATCAGAAATTAGCTAACCCAGTCCCCATCTCCCCCTCCTTTCAGGCCCCCCCACACACCTTATGGATGGGAAGCCTGAGCTCACATTGTAGAGACGGCTTGGATAAGGAATAGAAAATCATTCAGTGGTCTTGACTTTGTAACACCCAGCTCTTGCTTTCTCTGACTGTACCCTTCTTCCCACTTCCAGACCTCACCTGCAGATGTCCTCCAACCTGAACCCGATGAGCCTGCCCTTTGACCAATCTCACCCTCAGTGAGTGCCCATCCTGGTCCCATAGGCCCCATTCACTACCCATCCGCCACCATTCCATTCACTTCTCTGGTCCCAGCAGGAGCCTGCTACTGTGCCAGACTCAGGAGCATGCCATGTCCAGCCCCGAGCCCCTGCTCTGCTCCGACGTGACCATGGCAGAAGAGAACTGCTTGAACCAGCCAGTAGGGGGGTTCTCTCAACGCACCTGGTGAGTGGCGGCCTCGGGGCGGTGGCTGAGTGTGGGCTAGAGGCGTGGGTGCCGTGCCTATCCTACCGCTTCTCTCCTCCCTCCCGGCAGGGTTGGCGAAGACATGTTCCCACCCCTGCTGCCGCCCACAGAACAGGACCTCACCAAGCTTCTCCTGGAGGGGCAGGGGGAACCGGGGGGAGGGCCTATGGGAGCCCAGCCCCTCCTGCAGCCCAACCCCTACGGGCAGTCTGGGATCTCAATGTCCCACATGGACCTAAGGGCCAACCCCAGTTGGTGATCCCAGCTGGAGGGGGAGCTCAGAGACAGCTTTTCTACCCTGACGGACCTGCTCTGGACACCCGCCCATACTCCTGCTAAGCAACAGACGGGGAGCGAGTCCCCCGAGCCCCACCCACTCCCTGGCGAGGAGGAAGACTTTGCCAGGAGAAGGCGCTGCAGGTGGAGCCTATCCACTCCTTCCCTCCCGCCACACGCCCGCCCCCGCCCTCTCCCTTCCTGTGCCGGGGGAGAAATTCAGGTTCCAAAGTGAGACACGCCCCTGCATGCCTGAACACGCAGAACACTCGGCTCCCCCTGAGACAGGGCTGAGCACGGAGGGGGCTGAGCAAGAGCACAGGTTAGGGCACGGAGGGCGCCTTCTCCCACTCCCAGCCAGGACCCCGGATGCACGTGTAGGAAGCAGCAGACGTGTGCACAACACTTGCACTAGAGGCTGGGGATGTGGGAGGGGAGGGGCCGGGTCCCAGCCCTGGGGGAAGCAGTTCGGGAGACCCCGGTGGGAGCACAAGAGGGGCCTGTCCGTTTGGCTACTGATGTGGACTTTGTCCAGATTAAAACACAGATCCCGGACAGCTCCAGACCCGACAGTCAGATGGGGGCTTGCGGTTGTGTAGGAAATGGTGCAGAAGTACACGGCTGAGTATCTTGGTGTACAGCTGTGTGTGTGTGTGTGTATGGTGTGTGTGAGTGTACTTGAGATATAACATATAGATGTCACGCACATTAGTCGTATAGCCACACATAGGACATTATCTGATTTTTCCGTGACAACAGTTTTTGAAATGTGAGACACTGCACGAACGACACGGGTGAGTGTGCTGGCCTGATACATGCTAACCCAGACGCACTCAGCTTCGAGTGCCGGCTCAGGCAGGCCCGCGTGGCTGTGACATCGCACACGGCGTAGCTCTGTGGCTCGGCACTGCCAGTCCTGCCCCGGGCAGGGGGAGTCGGGCCGGCCCAGGCGTGCGGTCCTCCCCGTGTATTAGGGACCCTCCCCGCTGCTTCTTTTCTACTTCCCCAGCCACCGCCGGTTTCCCTCCACTCCCGTACCACCCTTCCTCCCCGATGGGGGCCATAGATCATAAGCCATAAAATAAATTTTATTCCAAAATAACAAAATAAATAATCTACTGTACACGATCTGAAAAGAAAAACGCTCTAACTGCTCAGACAGACGCTGTGGTCCAGCCCCCAGCTGCGGGAGACACCGAGTCCAACCCAGGCCTCCCGTGGGGGCTGATGGAGGGGACCCCACATCCCGCCCCCAGAGAGGGCAGGGCAGGAGGAAAAGAATTGCTGGGACTTGGGGGGAAAGATGGGCATGAGTGGGTGAACTGCAGCACTTGTTAAATTAAAGAAACAAACTAGAAGCACGAAAATGGGGGAGCAAGGGGAGCAAGAGCAGGTGCAGTGTCCTCAGGCCCCCATTTCTGGGGAAGAAACGTTTCCATTTTTAGAGGCTGGACCTTCCCAGGGAAGTTCCCCTGTCCCCCATATCCAAACTGAGTCCGACTGCTCACAGGACGGGTTCAGACTGAGAGAATGGGAGTGTGTTGTGTGAGGGGAGAGCCCCAGATGCCCTGGAGGCAGAGTCCTTGCCCCCGTGCTGTGGGCAAGGGTGAGGGGCAGAACGCACCCTCTGTGTCCTCTTGCCAGGCCCCTGCTCGTTATTGCTTGAAGCCCCATAGTTTTACGCCCATGGAGCAAGTGGGGAGGCAGGAGAAGGGCAGCGGGAGGATCCAGAGTTGTGACCAGAGACCGGGGATGGAGAGTGTAGGGACCTGTGGGAGCCGGAAATCCCAGGCCCCGGGTGAGAGGGTACCAGTCCATCCCTCACTGCCGGCTGGCCTCGGCCTCCACTTTCACGCTGCTTCTGCGACCTTCCACCAGAGCTGGATGGGGTCCCGGGGCAGGGCATCGGTCCAGGAGCCCTTCCTCGAACTCTGCAGGGAGAAGGGCAGGTTAGGAGCCTGTGGGGCGGACACTGAAGAGAGAGGTGGCTGAGCGGAGAGGCAGGGCTAGAGGAGGCTGCGAAGAGGAGCCTGACTGACTGCGTTACTGATTCCTGCCCGCCGTGCGCACAGGGAGAGCTCCGCATCCCTGCGCGTGCGCCCCCTCCTCTCTCTGGCTGTGTGTAGCTCTCTGTCTCTGTATGTATGTCTCTCTTTCTCTGTCTCTCCCGCCTCTGCTCCGCTGGAATTTCTGGTTCTGTCAGGAGCTGCGGGGGTGGCTTGGCTCTGACCTCTCCCCCTCCCCCTCCCTAGGCTCTGCAGCCCCCACTCATCTCTTGCCCCCTCCCAGGCCCCGCCCACCCACCCACCCACCCATGCCCCCCAAGTTTCTCAGAAGCCAAGTGTGGGGGAGGGGGGACAGGAAGCCAGGCTCCCAGCTCCTCCTCCAAGAAAAGCCCCCCTTCCAGTCCCTGCCCCCACCTCCCGCCCACACACAGTTTAAAAATACCAAGCTAGGGTTGGTGGCTTTGTCTGCTGCGTCACTCCCAGCCTAGCCCAGCCGCTGCCTGGCCCTTTGGTGGCCTGATCCCCTTCCCCCCATCCCAACACAAAGCATCCCCCCACCTTTAGGCTCTTCCACTTTCAAGCTGGGCAGCCCCGTCCCAAACGCTAGCCTGCTCCGCCCTCCTACACGGGTGGAAGCTCCCTCCATGCTTTCCTTCCTGGTGACCCTCCTTCTGCTCCCCTTCATCTCCCAACTCTCTCTCCCGCTCACCCCAATCCCCCTCACGGGTCTCTGTTAGGGTCAGACCCACCCCAGTAGGAGCAGTCCTGCAGGGTCCCCTCTTCTTAAACCAAGGCCTGGTTGGCTGGAGCCTGACCCTCCTACTTGCCGCCCTCTCCGGCCACTGTACCCTCTTCCTCCCACCTGGCCCCAAGGCCCCAGGATCGCTAAGGGGGGCCTGGGTGGTGGGGTGCTCGGGGACAGCGCCGCTGGCTGCCTCACCTGCGAGAGGCGGCTTGGCAGGCACACAGGGGCTGAGGCGGCCCACGCGGTCATGGGAGACGAGGCGGGCTAGCCGCAGCCCCTCGTCCATCAGTGTCTGCTGCAGGATGTGGCGGCTCCACAGCCCATGGGCTGGCAATGCCAGAGGCAGGTCAGCAGGGGGCGGCGTCAGCCTTGGGCATGACCCCACAGCTGTGGGCATGGGCACCAGTCAGGTAAGGGACTACAGTCCACAGAACCCCCACCCTCAACCACAAAGCCAAGCCCATAGATCTAGGCCCTTCTGCCCCCATCCAGCCAGGCCTCCCAACCCTGGTCCAGGCAGTTGCCTCCTGGCTCTCTCCCGCCACACCCGCCCCGCCCCGCCCGAGGAGAGAAGTGCTCTGATGTCCACTCACCCTGCAAGTGTCCATCTAGACTCTCCCCGGACAGGCTGGCACTGTCTTCTTCCAGGCTGGGGCGGTATGGGGGTGCATAGGACTCGGGGCCTGGGGGAGGCTGCTGGATTTCAGAGTGACTCTGCTCTCCCACCTGTGTATGCCCCAAACGGGGAAATGAGGCTCCGGCAAAGGAGGTTTTAGGGAAAGACCGTTCTAACCCCCTCCATGCACCCTGGCAAACTACCTCCTGTTTCAGCTTCTTCAGGGGCGGGCCTCCCAATTCTTCGGGGTGGAGCCTGTAAAGATGGAGGAAGGAGGAGGGTGAGGCTGGGGAGGGGCACAGGATGGGCTGGGCACAGAACCCGGTGAGGGGCATGCATTTTTTTTTTTTTCAAAATCCTGGGAAGGAGCTGGCTGAGCAAGAGCCCCCAGCTCAAGCCCTCCTGTTTTGGGAGTTAGAGGGGACCTGAGATGGATGGGAAGGCGGGACATGCAGGTTGGTGGCAAGCAGGCCTGGAGGTACCTCAGTGGAGGTGAGAACATGGTCCAGCTCCCGGGCAGAATTCTAATATAGGAAGAACCTGGAGAAGGGGTCTCACCTGGAACCCTTCAGGGAGGACAGGTAGGTGCTTTCGCGGGCCACTTGGCGTGATAAGGAGAAGAGTTCCACCCTCCGCAGTAAGAGCGAGTTGTCCCTCATGCAGAACTGGGCAGCAGCCTCGTTGATGGTCAGCTGCGGAGAGGACCAGCCGAGCAGTCAGAACCCTAACTCCCCACTGTCCCGCCCAGACATCCTCACATCCCTCCGTCCTCAGACCCATGAGGCCCACCCATCAGATTCTTGATTGGGTTTTGACATAATCCAAGCGTTTCCTGAGGGAAGACGACAGAGGTCAGCACCCACAGATTCCCAGGGATGCCCAAGGCCTCTTCCACGTCTGTGGGGACAGGAGCGGCATGAAGTCGGGCTGCTGAGCTCCCCCCGGGCCCCTGTTCCCCCCTCAGTTGAGGAGGGAAGCACGGCAGGAGCTGGAATTGGGGTGGAGGAGAGGGGGGATCGGGGCCTGGAGTCTTGGTCAAAGGGCCAATGAAACAGACCTGAGGAACGTGAGGGCTCCCAGGGGTGAGCAAGTGGAGGCCTGGGAGCCAAGAGCCATCTGGGGAGACCGGGGTCCTCACCTCATGCAGGCTCAGCTGCTTGCCCTCCCGGCGCTTCGAGTCGAAGCGGCCGTAGATGATGCTGTACTTGCGGATCTCCTCCTCCTTCTGGCTGTCGTTGTCATCCATCTCGAAGATGTGCCCCACGCTCCGCGCCAGCTTCTTGTTCAGCTTCAGCAAGGACGTCACCTCCCCGGCGTCGCCCCTCGGGAAGCTCCGGAGGATCCTCTCCACGCTCTCCACCACCATGCGCACCATCTCCGGCTCCAGTCTGTCCGGAGCACCTCCGGCCCCGGGGGCCGCCAAACCTCCGGCCCCTATGCCCTCCGGGACGCCTCCCCCCGCAGGTGGGGAAAAGGGGGGTGAACCAGCCTCCTCGTCTCCTCCCGCCCCAACATCAGACTCCGGAGTGCTCCGGCCTGGCCAAATCCGGGCATCTCCGGCCCCGGGTCCCCCAGGCACTGGCGACAGCTTCTCTCCAAGGTCCAGGGGACTCTTGGGGCTAAAACTTCGGGCGCTGCCAGCCTTTTCCCCGGGGCTGCCATGGCCGTTGCTCATGCTCCCTTTCCGGGTGCCCGCAGTCTCCGAGATCTTGAAGAGCGGAATGCTGGAGACGGGCACAGCAGGCACTGGCTGGCTAAAGAGCCCGGGGTTGGTGGCCCACTCTCTCAGTGCCTTCTGCAGGCGTCGGACATGGAGGGGCTTGGTGGCCATGCCCACGAGAGCCATGATCTCCAGGAACTCCTCCTCACCCGCCTCGCACAGTTGCTGCACGTCATCCCCTCCCTGCTGGATGAAGGTCTCATAGTAGGAAAGGAGGTTGGCGCGCTGCAGGACCCGGTACAGCTGCAGCTCCCCTAGTGTCCGAGGCAGTGCCATGGCTCGGGCACCAGGCCTGAGAAGGAGGCACACAGAAGAGGGGGACGGTCAGTGCAAGTCCCCCTGCTGGGTACCAACCCACACTCACAACTGTCCTCTCACTCCTGCCTGCTTCTCTTCCTCTCGTGCTTTTTGAATGCTCTCCCTGACCGGTACCCAGGCCTGGGCACAGACTCTGAGAATCAGGAACTGCTCAGAGTATAGACATGTGGTGCCATCCTAGACAAGCCAGAAGTACCAAAGCCAGCTCAGTCTCTGCGAGAGCCAAAGGCTCTCCGTCCCCAACCTCAGCGTTTGCCTTTCTGGTCTGGGCCATGGAGACCCAGAGGCCAGTGTGCACATCCTGGGATGCCTAGATGTGCCTCTCTTCTGGAACACGGTCCTTACCTTCCACCCTAAGCACTAGCCGCCTCATCATCACTCAAGGAGACGTCCCGCCCTGAGGTACATGTAGGATGGCCCCTTCCTGCCAACAGTGGACACCTGGGACCACTGCTGGCAGGCTCCACTCCCTGGTGGCATCCTGCCTCCCGCGGAGAAAGAGAGGTGTGGCCCCTCCCAGTCCTTTCCCACACCGTGAGCCAGGTGCACCCCTGCTCTGTCACCTGAGCTTCCCTACCATTTAGGCATTCTTAGCACACTCTAGCTCCCTGCCCTCAGGAGGGTCGCTTTCCTCCAGGCTGCCCAGCACCCCCTGGCGACCCCGCACCCAGCAGGGACCTTCCACACCTGCTCAGAGGCAGGCCTTCCCCAGTCACTCAGCCGCGGGGAGGAGAGGAACGCCTCGATTGTTCTGCTCGGGGCCTGTTCCGCCCACACACACTCCCACAGTGGTAGCGTCTGTGGGCGAAAATTGCCTAGGGGCTCCCGCCTACCCTCTCTCTCCCTCATTTTCCACCCACATCTCCAGTGCAGACGGGGAGCGGCTCAAAGCCTCTTGAGGGAGGGGCTGCATGCTGGAAACTCTTCTCCCCACATTGTAATTAAGAGGCACAGCAACGGGACCCCTAAGACACCCCCTGCTTCTCCACTGCCTAGTTGCTGCTCTCTTGACTTCTCCCGACCCCGGGTCCTCCCGCCCCGTGCCAGGGACAGACCGAGCCAGCTGAGCGACCCCCCCCAACACCCCCCTTCCCGCCGCATTGCTGCCAATTAGAGGTCCAGGGCTTCCCCTGGAGCTTGCCCCCCCCCCATATTCTTTGCAGGGGGCTCACAAGCCAGGTCATGCCCACAAAGTAGAAGGTGGGATGGAGAGTTTGAATATATTCTTTCATATCCAGATTCATCAGATCCCAGCCCCCCCCCCCCATTCCATCAGTCTCCACCTCCTCAACCCTTATCTCTCTTCCCCTCCACATTCCCCTCACCCCCCCCCCCCCCAGATCTCCGCCCTCCAGACCCCTTTCCAGAGTCCAGCTCCACCCATCCCCACTCCCGGCCGCTTCCCTTTGCCCACTAACTTGAGTCTGGGCTGCGGGGTCCGGCGGGCGCTGTCCCCTCCGCCCGGAGGCTGCTCGGCGGCGGGGGAGGGCGCTCTGAGCATGGACGGCCGGCGACCGCCAAGGGCCGCCCCTCCGGGTGCCCGGCGCCCGGCGCTGCCAGCTGCGCGCTGCGATGTTCCCGGCTCGGGAGGCCGTGTCCGCCGCGGTCCGGGCTGCGTCCCTCCCTCCACGTCTCCTCTCCGAGCCTCCGCGGCTCCGTCTGTGCCTCTGCCCCCCGCCCCCCTCCCCGGCTGCGCTCGCCGCCTCTCCGCGCCGCCGCCCCCGCAGGACGCACGGGGAGCGGGGCCGGCGCGGCGCGGGCTGCCGGGCGGAGGGCGTGGGCAGAGCCGGGGGCGGAGGCCAGGGGCGGGGGGCGGGCGCCGGGCTGCGGGGCCCGCGGGGAAGGCGCCGCCGCCGCGGTGGGGAGACGGAGGGAGGCGGAGACTTGGGGGGAAGGGACGGGACGGGGTATGGAGCTGGCGGCGGGGGCGGCGACTCAAAGCCCCGGCGCCAAAGTGGGGACTGGGGTGACCGAGGCCGGGGCGGGGCGAGGTCGCTCCAGCCGCCCACGCCGGATGCACTGCCAGCCCTCTCCGCGCCCACGTGCCCACGTGAGCGCCCAGCCGGCGACATGCCTCTCCCCGCCGCCCCTGCCTCCGCGGGGAGCGGGCACAGCCGCGCGCGGGCGCAGAGACCGGGGAGCGCACCGGGCGCCCCAGCAGCTCCGCGAGGAGCCCGCGCCCGCACGCAGGCCCCAGGGTGGCGGGCGTGGGCATGGGAGGAGTGCGCCCGGAAAGTTGGCGGCTTCTCGAAGGCCCTCCTGTGTGTGTGCGTGTGGCTCACCAAGAGGGCGCGTTTGTGGCGGGCCTGTGAGCGCGAACCCCTTCGGCACCCCAGCTCTTCTCCAACCCCAAAGAGTCCTGTGAAGCTCCGGGCTCCGCCACCCCGGTCTCCAGGCCCTGCTGAAGTTTGGGAACAGGAATGGGCGGGTTACGGTAGAAGCTGCCACTTAGGCGCGTTTACTGGACGCGCTGGGTTTTGTGAGCGCACAGGTCAGGCGGGGATGGGAGGGGTACCCCGCCTTACTCCACTCGTCGCACCCTGTTTCTGAGGATGGGGACCTACTCCTGGGGAATTGTGTGCGGCAAAGCTGGGACGTGGAGGACAACCATTCTGGGACTTGGGGACGCCTATCAGGGGACTTCCTCGGGGAGGCGAGGGGAAGATGGGCCAGGACGCCAGGAGAGAGCCACGCGGCTCCCCGAGAGGAGCCTCACCCCCCTTCACAGCCCACCTCTCCTCCCCCACCTTGTTTCTCCCAGCCCCATCTGGTTCCCATTACACTCCCGCCCACGGCGGGGGGGAAGGGGTGGCGGATGGACAGGCGGGGACTCAGCCTGGCCCTGCGGCTCTAGGCCCAGAGGAAAGGAAGGGGGAGGAGCGAGAAGGGGGGGTAGCGGGATGCAAATAGACTAGCCAGAGGCAAAGTTCCCCCAAGTCCGAAACTCAGCCCCACCCCGCCACCCCGCGCTTCTGAGTGGCCAGGCAGGGCGCGGGCGGCGGGGGCGGAAGGCTGGGTCCACATTCGGGCCGAGAACCTTGGTCTCCGCTGGGGGCAGGAGAGGAGGGGTGCATCGGTGGGATGGGGAGGATTTCAGCGGCTCAGATTATTTTCCCCATCCCATATAGCCCCAAACACAGTGGGGTGGGGAGAGGGAGTGGGGGGGGGGGGTAACAGGACCGAGCTGAGTCCCGTCTCCCATCCCAGGACTGGAGGGGCACACCCCAGCCCCTCTGCTGTGTGGGCGCCCCTCCCCCACCCTTCACTTATTTTGGAGCCCGGGCTGCCAGCCACTGGCCGCGGGTTCCACGTGCCTCCTCCTCCTTCCCGCCGCCCACGCGCCCCGTGACGCACATCCTCCGCCCACGCGGCCTCTGCGGGCGGCGCTGCGCCCCCGGATCCGGGGGGAGACGCGGGACCCGGGAGGTGGGTGGAGCGGGGTGTGAAGCCACGGGCCGTTACCAGCTGGGCGCCCCCCGGAAAGAGGAGCCGGTTCCCCTCTCCGGCCCCGGGGCGGGCGCTCGGCGCTGGGGGAGGAGGAGAGAAGCAGCCGCGGGCCAGGACTGCCCCTCCCTTAGGGGACGCTGGCTGAAGGGGTCTGTCTGGTCCGAGCCTGCGTGTGAGAGTGAAACTCTTGAGCGATGTATCTTTGTTTCTCAGGGTTGTCTTGAGGATCAAATGAGAAGACGTACATAAAAAAAAAAAAAAAAGACTTTGTACATTGTAAAACCCTGAGCAAATGTAAGATGCTTTTGCCAGTTTGTGTCTCTGCACCTGAGGTAGTGTGTGTGTGTGTGTGTTTCTTCACACCTACGTGCGTGTCCGTGTCTCTGTCTCCCAAGGTTTGTGTGTGAGCCCCTAGGTGTGGATTTAAAAATATGCACGTTAAAAAACAAAACAAAAAAACCCCACAAAACATCATTGACTTGGCAAGCTCCGCCAGAGGTCAGGCAGCCAGAGCTGCTGAGATGTCTGTTCTGCGCTTCCCTCCCACTCCTACCTCCCCCCACACCCCTCCTACTCCCTTCCGTTGAGAACAAGGAATTTCCAGTCTTTAGGAAAAGGAGAGGCAGAAAGGCTTAGACTATGAGAAACAAAAAGAGCTTAGACTATGAGACAGAAAGGCTTAGACTATGAGAAACAAGAAAAAGAGCCGAGGCCGGTTTAGCTCAGCCTGTGGACTAAAGGTTCCAGGTTTGATTCCGGTCAAGGGCATGTACCTTGGTTGCGCTGGGCACATCCCCAGTAGGTGGTGTGCAGGAGGCAGCTGATCGATGATTCTTTCTCATTGATGTTTCTATCCCTTTCTCTTCCTCTCTGTAAAATAAATAAATAAATAAATATATTGAAAAAAAACCCACAAAGATAAGAGGCAAGGAGTGAGTAGGGGAGATGACAAAAAGGGGCAGGACAAATACAGGATCTTCATTTCTTTTTCTCTTACGGGCCCAATTGCCCCAGGGTGGCTCAGAACCCCTTCCCTACTTGACTCACCTGCTCTCCCCAACCCTATCTCAGAGTTCTCAGAGGCATGTAGAGCTTCAGATCCCATTTAATCAGTTGACAGTGTATATAAAGAGCTTATTAATAAATAATTTGCTAATTAATTACCTATTAACATTGGACTCTTCCAGGAAGGAAAACAGTATCCTCAGTCCCAGTTTTTCCCCAAGAAAAGGAAAGAAGATTGTGAAGAGAGTGTGTAAGAGAGGAGGACATTTTGAACCAGAAGGACTGTCATTTCTAGGCACCTATAGATTTTCATCTAGCTGCTCACTCTCTCCCTGTCCCCAAGTTTCACCAGGCAAAAGCAAGCTCACTCAGCAAGGTCTGGTTCAAATGTCACCTTCCTGGACCCTTTCCTTTTTGTACCCACTCCAGGCAGAATTAATTCCTCCCATCTCTCAGTGACCTTAACTGTACACAATTAAATTGCACTGAGTGGCCAGATTATTATGATCTCTGAACACATAATAATCTGGCCATTCAGTATATATATATATGAGGCCTGATGGATGAATTCGTGCATGGGTGGGGTCCGGCCAGCCTGACCAGGGTGAAGGGACATGGGCGGTTGGCCAGCCTGCCTGCTGGTCGAACTCCTGGTCAAGGGGACAATTTGCATATTAGCCTTTTATTATATAGGATATATACTGATTGGCCAGATTATTATGCGTTCAGAGATCATAATAGTCTGGCCACTCAGTGTAGTTTCTTGTTTCACCCTCAGCCTAAGACACCACCTGGGTAAGTCATATCTGGTGGGCCCTCTGAAATGAATGAGTTGATGATGCTATTTCCAGGCCTGAGCAACTTCTAAAGAGCAATAGACACAGATTTTAGTTCAAAGGGAGCTGAACCTGGACAAAACTATTTTAAGTGGAGATACTTGTTTTTCGTGCCTGTCTCCTTTCTTTAAGTTTCCAGTGAATCTCACAACTTTGGCTCCTTGTTCTTCTAAAATGTTCACTATTCTGGTGAATTAATGCATGTCCAGGTGCTAAAGATTTGGTTGAAATCCTTGCTAGTAATAGAAAAATATAAACATAAAGCAATGATCTTCCTTTTTCCCTCTTTAAAATAAAATTATAGTCTAAGGAATGTTCCTTCAATTTAGTCATCTTACAAGAGTTGCATCACTCCTCCAAAGACCAAGTAACTGCCTTTACGAGCTCATAGACTAGTAGGAGAGATAGACATTTAAACAAAGAATTACAACGTAGTGCTACAATAGGGGTATAAACAGTGACAGAAGGATACGGGGCAAGAGACCCATTCTGTCCGGGGTTGTGAGGAACAAATCCAAAGAAGGAGGTAATGATGCAGCCTAGGATTTTAGTTTCGGAATAGGAGATTTCCAGAATAAAGAAATGATCAAGTCACCCTAGCTGGTTTGGCTCAATGGATAGAGCGTCAGCTTGCGGACTGAAGGGTCCCAGGTTTGATTCTGGCCAAGAGCACATGCCTGGGTTGTGGACTCAATCCCCTGTAGGGAGCATGCAGAAGGCAGCTGATCCATGATTCTCTCTCATCATTGATGTTTTTATCTCTTCCACTCCCTTCCTCTCTGAAATTGAAGAAGGAGGAGGAGGAGGAGGAGAAATGATCAAGTCAGAGAAAGCAAATGTATACTTACATGGACATAGAATAATACGTTTGAGAAACTAGAAATTGTTCAGTGTTGCTAGATGGGGATGGTGGTGGTAAAAAAGGAGCCAAGGGAGGTATACAAGGTCATTTCATTAAGATGAGAGACCAGGGCCCTGGCTCAGTGGTAACCGCCCCCAAGGATCCATGGGTTCAATTCCTGGTCAAGGGTACCTGGATTTCAGGTTAGTTCTCCACCTGGTCTGGGTGCCTGGAGGCAACCAATTTATGTGTCTCTCTCACATTGATGTTTCTGTCTCTTTCTTGCTCTCCCTTCCTCCTTTTCTCTCTAAAAATCAATTGAAAAAATATACTTTGGTGAGGATTAACAACCACAACAAAAATTATAGACTAGGGCTTCTCAAACTATAGTAAAGGGCCGAAGCCGGTTTGGCTCAGTGGTAGAGTGTCGGTCTGGGGACTGAAAGGTCCCAGGTTCGATTCCAGGCAAGGGCATGTACCTTGGTTGCGGGCACATCCCCGGTAGGGGGTGTGCAAGAGGCAGCTGAATGATGATTCTCATCAACGCTTCTAGCTCTCTATCTCTCTCCCTTCCTCTCTGTAAAAAAATCAATAAAATATATTAAAAAAAAAAAACTATAGTAAAGGGCCAATTAAAAAAAAATTCCAATCTGTTATTCACTACTTCTATAACATACACAAAAGGTAAAATAAAATCTCTATTTTTATTAGCCTCAATAAATAAAAATTTCTCTCAAATTGCTGTAAAAGTTTCTAAAGGCTTACATTTAATTTCTGAATTTTTTTTTTCATTGCAAATTGGTAACAAACTTTAAATAGCACTGCCATAGTTGTTTCTTTATACCTATGTTTTGGATCATACTAAGGGCCCTGGACTTGATCACAGAAGATACTGAGGAATCACAAAGATTTTGTCATGTGGGAGTGAAAATGTCAGATCTGCATTTAGGAGTAGTGTGGAAAAAGGGTTTTTTGGGTGCAAAAACATTAGAGAGGCCAGTTTGCAAGAATTAAGTGTGAGAAATTGAAAGGTGCTGGACTAAATCACTGGCATGAGACAGAGAGGAAAGAACAGATTTCAAAAGATTAAAATTAATAAGATCTGGTGATTGAGTGGCTAAGGGTTGGGGTAAGAGAAGAAGGGTTAGGGTGATGGAGTAAATAGAATAGAGTGTTCCTTCCCAAAACTTTGGGAATTGTTTTCATCAAATACCATTTGCAATCCTTTCCCTAAATTAAAAAAAAATTATGAAAACCAAGTTTTTCATAACTCATTTGATGACAAACCCTAATTTGTTATCTGAACTTATTTTGTGGTAGACCTGAGCTAAACTTACATGAGATAATTTATAGTTTTTGCTTATTATGCAGGTTTATCCCAGTGTGACTATTTATATATCTCATTGTAGACATACAAATTTGTTCAATTACAGGGTACTGTCCCAGTTGCACTATATTGTGTATGCACCATATTACCTTTCTAAAGTTCAAAAAAATTCTGAAACACATTTACTATCCAGATTTCCCAACCCATTTACTCATCAATCTTGGCTTGAGTTCTTTGGGTTATTTACATAAATCAGATCCACCTGCAGATAATGAATATTCATTGCAATGTATGCTATACACTCTGAAAATGATCCTCAAAGTTTTGAGCAGTGTCCTCATTATTAAAACAATGACAAAAATTTTTTTTGTGAAGTGACAGACAGAATTCATTCAGATGGTCAGGTGTGAAGTATTTATGGTTAACCAGTCATTTTTATATATATATATTTTTGTTTTCATTTTTTTTTTCTTTTTTTTTTTCTTTTTTTTTTCATTTTTATATTTTAGCAGTCAGTTGTCAGTGATCTGGAATTAGTTCCCAAACCTGGACTTAGTCCCCTGGTTCTCTGGCCGTTAGTCAAAACTAAAGTGTGATCTGAATAATGAGAATTTGGGGCCTGGTAGAAAATGAAATGTGTGTGTGTGTGTGTGTGTGTGTGTGTGTGTGTGTGTACAAGTTATTTTTAAAGTTTTAGGTTCACAAAAAAATTAAGAAGATAGTTCAGGGAGTTCCCATGTACCCCATATCCAGTTTCCACTATTATTATTATATTAGAGGTCCAGTGTATGAAATTCGTGCACAGAGGGGGGGGTGGTCCCTCAGTCCAGCCTACATCCTCTCCAATTTGGGACCCCTCGAGGGATGTCTGACTGCCTATCCAGTGGGATCAGGCCTGGCTTCCAACTGCTCCCTGCTTGCCTGATTGCCCCTAACTGCTTCTGCTTGCCAGCCTGATCACCCTCTAGCCACTCCCCAGCCAGCCAGATTGATGCCTGACTGCTTTCCTGCCTTCCCAATTGCCCCCAGCTGCCCTCCCCTCCTGGCCCAGTCACCCCTAACTGCACTTCCTGCCAGCCTGGACCCCCCAACTGCCCTCCCCTACAGGCCTAGTCACCCCTAATAGCCGCCCCCCCCCCCCCCCGCAGGCCTGGTCCCCCCAACAGTCCTCTCCTCCAGGCCTGGTCACCCCTAACTGCCCTCCCCTGCTGGCATGATTGCCCACTACTACCCTCCCCTGCTGGCCATCTTGTGGTGGCCATCTTGTGTCCACATGGGGGTGACCATCTTTGACCACATGAGGGCGGCCATCTTGTGTGTTAGAGTGACAGTCAATTTGTGTATTATCCTTTTATTAGATAGGATTAGTATTGGTACATTTGCCACTATTAATGAATCAGTATTGATATATTGTATTAACTAAAAATTGGTAGTTTATTCAGATTTCCTTAGTTTTTATGTAATTTTTTTTTTCTGTTCCAGAATCCCATACATGATACCATATTAGATTTGGTTCTCATGTCTCAGGCTCCTATTGGCTGTTCAGACTTTCCTTGTTTTTGATGACTTGACAGTTTTGAGGAGTATTTGTAGAATGCCTCTCTATCGGAAATTGTTTAATGTTTTTCTCATGATTATATTAGTTTTATGGGTTTGAGGGGGAAAACCACAGAGATAAAAATGCCATTTTTATCATATGCTATCAAGGATATTAATATCAATGTGATTTATTACTGTTGATATTGATCTCTCTAGGTCAGCCAAAGGACTGTGTGTATGAGACATAGAGTGACCACTGTCTCAGGGGTGGCCTTGACTTTCTTTCTTTCTAAGAAAAATATATTTTATTGATTTTTTTTACAGAGAGAAAGAAAGAGTTAGAAACATCGATGAGAGAGAATCATTGTTCAGCTGCCTCTTGCACACCCCCTACCAGGGATGTGCCCACAACCAAGGTACATGCCCTTGACTGGAATCGATCTTGGGACCTTTCAGTCCGCAGGCCGACGCTCTATCCACTGAGCCAAACCAGTTTTGGCTTGACTTTCTTTATGAGGGTAAAATTTCTTCTCTTGCCATGGCTCAGTCCCATATTGACTTTTTATTTTATTTTATTTTATTTATTAAAAAATAACCTTTCAGTCCGCAGGCTGATTGATGCTCTATCCACTGAGCCAAACCGGTTTGGGCCCATGTTGACTTTTTAAATATTCCTCCATTCTGAAAGCTTGAACAAACCACAGCAGTTACCTCCTTCCTTGAGTTACTCTCCAATTAATTAAGTTCTATCATCTTTAGTATTCCTACTCACCACCACCACTATCAGCTCCTCTTAAAAAAAAAAAAAATAGATGCTTTGCTTTGACCAGTGTGGTTCAGTTGGTTGGTTATCATCCCATGCTCTGAAAGTTTGCTTGTTTGACTTCTGGTCAGGGCATAAGCCAGGTTTTGGGCTCGAACCCGGTAAGGGTGTGCAGGAGGCAGCCAGCGAATTGATGATCAATGTTCTGCTCTAATATCGATGTTTCTCTCTTTCTCCCTCTCCCTTCCTTTCTGTCTAAAAATCAATAAAAATATTTTAAAAATAAGATGATTCAATTTTTACTAATATTTACTGAACACCTGTTATGTAAACTCTTCTAGGCCCACACTGTATGAAATCATTTAATGGGAAGCAGCTTGATGCATGGAAAGAACTCAGGCTTTGTAGTGTTAAGACGTGGGTTGAACACAGTCCAGCCCAATTGACACAGTCCAGCCCAATTACCTGTGCAATCTTGGGCAAGTTCTTTTGCCTCTCTTAGCCTTGGCTTCTTTTTAAAAAATTTTTTTTTTATTGATTTGAGAGAGAGAAGGAGGCAGGGAGGGAGAGAGAGAAATAGCAATTTGCTGTTCTACTTAGTTATGCATTCATTGGTTGATTTTTTTTTTTAATACATTTTATTGATTTTTTACAGAGAGGAAGGGAGAGGGACAGAAAGTCAGAAACATCGATGAGAGAAAAACACTGACCAGCTGCCTCCTGAACATCCCCCACTGGGGACATGCCAGCAACCAAGGTACATGCCCTTGACCGGAATCAAACCTGGGACCTTTCAGTCCGCAGGCCGATGCTCTATCCACTGAGCCAAACCGGTTCTGGCCATTGGTCGATTCTTATATGTGTCCTAACTTGGGGGCATACCTGCCACGTTGGCATATCAGGAGGATGCTCTATCAACTGAGCTACTACCCGTGCCAGGGCTGCCTTGGCTTCTTCTTAAATGGAGGTAATATTTGTCTCACAAGATGTGAGGAATAAAAAGCTTTCTCTTAATCCACACATTTATTTCACTTCTAAAAATTATCCTATGGCTATATTTAAAAATGCTAATATTTATTCCTATAACACACTGACAACACATTTTTTTTGTGTGTGTGACTTCTGTTTTAAATAACTTAGGACCTTAGAAAACACAGCCATCTTTTAAAACTTGCCCCGTCAGGCCCCACTGACAAAGATCTCTCAGTTATAAGTTTCCCTTAACAAAAAGATCGTGATAAAAAAGAAAGAAAACAGAAGGAACTTGAGAACAGTTTCCACAGAAATATCAAGTTCGGTCAAGGAGGCCTCGCCCATTCTGATTTTCTATTGGCTAAGCTTACCATCAATCGCACCAGTTGTAAATAAACTGGAGACGGAAGCATGTTGTTAAGGGGTGGGATCTTCCTGTCGCCGTTGCTAAAAACGAATTCTAATAGGCTGAGAGCTGCTGCTCCCGCCCTCTCGCATCAGTTTCTAATAGGCGGGATTATAGGATCGCTGGGGACTGCGAATTTGAAGCTCCTCCCAGCCAATTGGTTGTTATGGGGCGGGTCTTGTAGGGGATTGGCTGCTGGCCCTGCCTGTTCGGGATTAGTTGCTGGGGAGAGACACGTGAGGAGGCGGTGGCGGGAGGCGACTATGGCGGGAGGCATGAAAGTGGCGGTCTCTCCTGCAGTGGATGCCGGGCCCTGGGGCTGGGGGGCCGGGGGCGGCGGGGCAGTGCGGCTGCTCCTGGTTCTCTCCGGATGCTTGGTCTATGGCTCAGGTACTGCCCGGGGCAGCAGCTGTCAAGGGGGCTGGTTCTGAGGGAGTGACAGAAAAGTGGCGAGCGGTCCCGGGCGAGGCGGGTTACTGTGCCGAGTGGCGCGGGCTAACCGGGAGAACGAAGCTTGGTGGTCGGAGAAGGGGCGCGGGTACTGCACCAGGGCCTGGGGCGGCTGGTGGGGGTGCCCTCAGTGGGGAGGAGCTTGGAGCCTTTTGGTGGAGACAGGAAGGGAGGCCCCAACTGGGTGAGTAGAGGTTCCCCGAGCTGCGTCCGCTGCAGGGGCCTCCGCGAGTTTTTTGGTCAAAAAGAGGGAAACGCGAGAACCATTCGGGGTAGGCAGAGCTGCCACTGCAAAGGGAGCATCTCATTCACTCAGCACATGAGCAGCACCTTCTGAGTGTGGGATTTGCCGCGGCACGGTTTGCTGAGATGCAGTAATCTCTCTCTAATCATTAGAGTCTAATGGTAAGGTCCTGGCCCCTACACGCCCTGTGGAAGGTTCCTGAAGCCGTTACATTCCCATATTAAAAAAAAAAATAAAATAAAATAGATACAAGCGCCATTCAGCATGAATAGGTTTCTTGTGGAAATTTAATTCCTCAAGCAAATTTATTTGATACCTACTACTGGATAATTGGCTTTGGACTGAGTTGAAAATTTTCCTCTTCTGTTCTAATTCAGAAAACCTAGAATTTAAAATTCTTCATAACTGCAATTGTTACTTCTATAGATAGATCACTTATTTAATGTTTATGAATTCAACATTAGGTTGAATAATTGTGGTGTTTCTCCTGATTGGACATTAGCGGTGTTTTTAGCTGTTAATTTTAGATAACACTTTATGTATATCTTTGTATATAACTTTTATTGCATTTTGATATATTTTTAGCATAGATTCTCAGAAATGAATTTACTAGGTCAATAGCTAAAATATATTTAAGACCCTTGCTAAAGTACTGAAAAGGTATGCCAGTTTGTACCACGGTCAGCGATGTTTACTTGTGACCCTTGACAGCACCTTTGCTAACTTGATAGATCGAAATGGCATCTTAATGTAACTAGCATTTATTGCATTATTTGTAAGCTTATTTCAACTGTTATTAGCTATTTAATATTTTGTTTTGACTTTTAAATCTTTTGGAGTGTGTTTCTGTTCTTTGTTTTTGGTCTATTGTGATTTTTATTTATTGGGGTTTTTGTGGACTTTTAAAATCTTGTATAAAGTTTTTTACATATAAAGGTTATAAATATATTTATAATCTGTTTATTTATTGCCCCCTTTTTCTTTTTTTTTTTTTAACCACTTAACTGCCATGCATCCAAAATGGAAACCATCCCCACACACGGCGAAATTTTGAATTTAATTAGAAAAATTAGTTTGCAATGAATATTATAAAAATAAATATATTACTCACAATTCGAGTGTTCTTGAATTATTTCAGCTGAAAATTCTTAAGAAAAATGATTTTCAAGTTGGTCAGGGCTGCCACTTAGGGAAAACATTTTTTTAAAACAGAGGCTCTGCTGAGACCGGTTTGGCTCAATGGATAGAGCGTCGGCTTGGGATCTGAACGGTCCCGGGTTCGATTCCAGTCAAGGCCATGTACCTTGGTTGCGGGCATATCCCCAGTAGTGGGTGTGCAAGAGGCAGCTGATCGATGACTCTCATCGATGTTTCTAACTATCTCTCTCCCTTCCTCTCTGTGAAAAATCAATAAAATATATTTAAAAAAAAAACACCAAAAAAACAGAGGCTCGTGGCATGTGGGGAAGTTCCATCGCTTGAGTCTACAGACATTTATGGCATACAATGGGTTAAAATTCTCACCTGTGGACATGCTTAGAGGAAATGGTAGGAGAGAAAGAGAGAAACTGATCATTTGCCTTCTGCTCTTGCTCTGACTGGGATTGAACCCACAACCCAGGTACCTGCTCTGACTGGGAATCAACAGGTAACCCTTCCGTGCACAGACGACACTCCAACCAACAGCATCCAGCCAGGCTGCCCCCTTTTTTAAATAGATGATTTACTTTTTTATATAGTTATTTAATTTAATTTATTTATTTTTAAAATATATTTTATTGATTTCTTACAGAGAAGAAGAGAGAGGGATAGAGAGTTAGAAATATCGATGAGAGAGAATCATCGATCAGCTGCCCCCCCACTTTCGCACACCCCCACTGGGGATGTGCCCACAACCAAGGTACATGCCCTTGACCGGAATCGAACCTGGGACCTTTCAGTCCGCAGGCTGACACTCTATTCACTGAGCCAAACGGGTTTCGGCTGATTTTATTATTTAGGTTTATTTTCATTCATGCTTAAACAGCTCTTCAAATTGAATTGATTCTATTTTTTTGTGTGGTACAATTTAATTATTTTATTTTTAATTTATATAGTATTTGGTGTGAGGTGAGGATCTAGATAGATTTTATTTTCCAAATAACCAGTCAGTTGCTCCAAGCATCACATTGAGTAATCTTTTGCTAAACTCACTGACTTAAGGTGCTAGTTAATTTTTTTAATCCTCACCCGAGGATATTTTTTCCATTGATTTAAATGTATATATATATATTCTATTGATTTTTTTATTAAAGAGAGGAAGGGAGAGAGCCAGAAACATCGATGAGAAACACAGAAACATAGATCAGCTGCCTCCTGCACATCCCCCACTGGGGTTGTGCCCACAACCAGGGCATGTGCCCTTGACCGGAATCAAACCCGAGACCCTTCAGTCCGAAGGCCAAAGCTCTATCCACTGAGCCAGACCAGTTTAGGCAGAAGCACAGGTTTTAACATGAACATTTTGACAACTTGTATAGCTTGTGGGTTCGATCCCCAGTGGGGATCTTGGGGGGGGGCTTCTGATCAGTGATTCTCATCTTTGATATTTATGTCTCTCCCTCTCCCTTCCTCTCTAAAATCAATAAAGATATATTTTTAAAAGTAAATAAAACATGTTGCTGCTTATAAAAGTTTTATTTTTTTAAAATTGTGTTTTTTTATTGATTTCAGAGAGAGAGGGGGAGAGGGAGAGAGAAACATCAGTGATGAGAAAATCATTGATCAGCCACCTTCTGCATGCTCCTCACTGGGGATCAAGCCTCAATCCCGGGCAGGTGCCCCTGACTGGGAATCCACCTGGAATCCAACTGTCACTTCTGGTTCACAGGTCGATGCTCAACCACTGAGCCACACTAGCTGGGCAAAAGTTCTCTTTCTTTAGGAAAATGACATTGGAAAATTTTAAAGTTAGTTTTAAAACATTGTTACCTTTTCTTGGCATTGTTTCAACTGACATATGTTAGTGATACATTATATTACCTGGTGCTGTGGGAAAGAAGGAGTTAATAAGTGTGAAACTTGTTTTTTTATTTGTAAATACAGTAGTTTTAAACTTTATATAACCTTTTATACAATCTCAAAATAAATTGTTGATGAGTGTATTCTTTTAGCATATTTATGAGTATATTTTTTAGTATATTTGTTAGACAGATGTCAACAGGACTTTGAAAAGTTTTCATTTTATGAAAGATAGGATTGGAGGAAATCCAAGTTAATATTGGATTAATTCCTGGTAAGAAATTGGTGGATGGGGTTTAGGACATGCTACTCTAAGATATAGTACGTTGGCACGTTGAATATTATATTTTAATCTGAGGGAGTTTGAGAAAGCAGCAGAAGCAGGAAGGTCACTGGAACCTCTCTTACTTTGCCCTTCTTCCCTGAAACAGGCCATAAAATCTTTATATGAGCCCTGGCCGGGTGGCTCAGTTGGTTGGAACATTGTCATATACACTGAAAGGTTGTGGGTTCGATTCCTGGTCAGGGCACATACCTAGTTTGTGGGCTTGATCTCTGGTCCTGGCACTTACAGGAGGCAATTGATTGATGTTTCTCTCTCACATGAATGTTCCTCTCTCCCCCTTTCCTCTCTCTAAAGTCAATAAAAACATATCTTTGGGTGAGGGTTAAAAAACAACTCATGTGAGATGCCCTCCCTAAACCTGGAAGAAAGGAGCGTCCTTGTGTATGAAGGATGGACACTGTGAATCCTAACAAACAGGCTTTGCTCAATCTCGCCTACTTTACCGCATTTACCTGTCATGTTCCTTAACATGTTCATTCAGATTGTCCAGTCTTCATCAAACCAGCATAAAAAGTACATAATTTTCAGGTTTCTTGAGGTCCTCATTTCCTTATGAAGGCTTCTGTATCACTTAAACATTAATTTGTTGATTTCCTTACTTTGTCAGTTTAATTTGCAGGCCCAGCCAAGGACCCTAAGAGAGTTAAGGAAGACTTTCTCCCCTATAATATCGACTGATTTTTTTTTTTAAAGTTGAGATATAATTCACATACCATAAAATCCAGCCTTTCAGTGGTTTTTAGTATATGCACAAAGTTGTGCAACCATCACCACTAATTCCAGAATATTCTCACCCATCCCAAATAAGACCCTATACACACCTTAGCAGTCACTTTCCATTCCTCTCTTGTGTGTATTTAAATATACTTCTTTATTGATTTCAGAGAGGAAGGGAGAGGGAGAGAGAGAGAGAGAGAGAAAAATCAATGATAGGAGAGAATCATTGATTGGCTGCTTCCTGCACACTCCCTACAGGGGATCAAGCCCATAACCCGGGCATGTGCCCTTGGCTGGAATCGAACCTGGGACCCTTCAGTCTGCAGGCCGACACTCTATCCACTGAGCCAAACCAGCTAGGGCTGTGTGGTTTTTTATAAATATCCAGAAGTGAGTCATAAGGCAGGTCCATTTTTAATTTCTTGAAGAAATTCCATGTGTTTTCCATAGTGTCTGCACCAATCTGCATGAGGGTTCCCTTTTCTCTACATCTTCACCGTTGTATGTTTTCTTTGGAGAAATGTCTTTTCAGGTCCTTTGCCCATTTAAAAAAATGGGGTTATTTCTCTTTTTGTTGTTGAGTGTAGTCTCGTTATGTATTCTAGATATTAGATCTTTATCAGGTATATGATTTGTAAATATTTTCTCCCATTTTGTGGGTTGTACTTTCAAAACAACACAGGTTTTTAATGTTTATGAAGTCTAATTTTTTTTTTTTTTCATCTTTACTATGCTTTAGTGTCATAGATAAGAAACCATGGCCTAATCCAAGGTCCCGAAAATTCACACACCTGTGTTTTCTATTAAGTGTTTTATAATTTTTGCTCTTATATTTAGGTTTAAGACTGAATTTAACTTCAAAATTAGTCTTAGCTTTTACCCTAAAACAATTGGATTGGTGGGCATCATTGCCTTTAAAAAAAAAAAAAAAAATATATATATATATATATATATATATATATATATATATATATATTATTGATTTTTTTTTTTTTTTACAGAGAGGAAGGGAGATGGATAGAGAGCTAGAAACATCAATGAGAGAGAAACATCAATCAGCTGCCTCCTGCACACCCTCTACTGGGGATGTGCCTGCAACCAAGGTATATGCCCTTGACTGGAATCGAACCTGGGACCCTTCAGTCCTCATGCCAAAGTTCTGTCCACTGAGCCAAACCGGTTTCAGCCATCATTGCCTTTTTTTATGTGTAACTTTGGCTAACTAATGTTTGGATGAGGATTTTGTTTTTATGGGTTTTGTGTGTGTTTGTTTTTAGTTTATTTAAATCTGCCCATCGTTATATTAAGACCCAGAGAGATAACTACATTTCTACTTAAAATAGCGCTTAATAAATTGCTAAGTACAATATAGAATGCAAGGGATAAGTTATTTAAATGTTTTGTGGTAAAGAAGGTAGATTGCACAATTTGAGTGGGTAGACATGAAAGAGTGGTCACTTTTTAAAAATATGTATTTTTATTGATTTCAGAGAGTAAGGGAGAGGGAGAGAGATAGAAGCATCAATGATGAGAGAGAATCATTGATTGGCTGTCTCCTGCACACCCATCATTGGGGATCGAGCCTTCAACCTGGGCATATGCCCTGACTGGGAATCAAACCGGTGACCTCTTGGTTTCTGGGTCGATGCTCAACCGCTGAGCTATACCCAGCTGTGCAGAGTGGTCACTTAAAAAAAAAAAAAATATATATATATATATATATATATATATATATTATTGATTTTTTACAGAGAGGAAGAGAGAGGGATAGAGAGTTAGAAACATTGATGAGAGAGAATCATTGATCAGCTGCCTCTTGCACACCCCCTACTGGGGTTGTGCCCACAACCAAGGTACTTGCCCTTGACCGAAATTGAACCTGGGATCTTTTAGTCCACAGGCCAATGCTCTATCCATTAAGCCACACTGATTTCAGCAAGTGGTTACTTTTTTTTTTTTTTTTTTTTTAAATAGGTTTTTAATTGATTTTTTTAATAGAGAGAGGAAGGTAGAAAGAAAGAGAGAGAAACATAGATTGTGATGCCTCTCTCACACTATCCACCAGAGTATCAAACAGGCCACCCTGGCATGTGCCCTAACTGGAATTGAATTGGTGACCTCTTGGTGCAAGGCACAATGCTCAATCCACTGAACCACACCAGGGCTGGGCGACAGTGGTCACTTTTACTTTTTAAAATATGTTTTTCTTGACTTCAGAGAGAGGAAGGGATAGGGAGAGAAAGAGAGAAACATCAATGCTGAGAGAGAAACTTCAATCAGCTGCCTCCTGCATGCCCCCTACTGGGGATTAAGCCCTCAACCTAGGCATGTACCCTGACCAAGAATCGAACCATGACCAATGTGAGAGTGTGGTCACTTTTAAACTTTAACTGAGATTGAATACAGAATTTCTGAGAGGCAGAATGTTCTGTTTTGGTAAAACCAAAGGCAGTGCATATATTCATTGGCTATTCTTAAAACTAGAAACAACAGCAGGAAGAAAGCAACTTGGCAATCTTTTTAGTTTTGCTTGAAATACTATACATACCTACAGTATATATAAAATCCTAAGGAACCGGTAACTATGATGTGCACTGACCACCAGGGGGCAGATGCTCCATGCAGGAGCTGCCCTTTGGTGGTTGGTGCGTTCCCACGGCAGGAGCGCAGCTCACTGAGGCAGGGCTCATGGCCGGTGAATGCAGCTGCAGTGGCAGGTATCCTTTCTTGCCTTAGGCCTCCTCCGCTGCAGTGCTACTGAGCCGCCTGGCACAGCGGGGCCCGGATGAATGGGAGTGGCGCAGCGCCCAGTGTGCCGCTTCAGGCACTACTACATCCCTCAGGGGATGTCAGACTGCTGGTTTTGGCCTGATTCCCACAGGCAGTCCGACATCCCTGGAGGGGTCCCGGATTGTGAGAGGGTGCCGGCCAGGCTGAGGGACCCCACTGTTGCACGAATCTGTTAGGTCTCTAGTATATGTATAACATTGCCAATTCTGTTCATCCTACCTGGGAAAGGGATAGAGGAAAATTACAGGATGTGGTTACCCGAAACAGGACCTGGGTGTGAATCTCAATTAAGCTAGTATGACTTTGGGGGGACCGGTTTGGCTCAGTGGATAGAGCGTCGGCCTGCGGACTGAAGGGTCCCAGGTTCGATTCCAGTCAAGGGCATGTACCTGAGTTGCGGGCACATCCCCAGTAGGGGATATGCAAGAGGCAGCTGATCGATGATTCTCTCTCATCGATGTTTCTAACTATCTATCCCCCTCTCTTCCTCTCTGTGAAAAATCAATAAAATATATCAAAAAAAAAAAAAAAGCTAGTATGACTTTGGGCAAATACTTTTTTTTTGTTTTTGTTAACCCTCCATTGATTTTAATCCCTCCATTGATTAAAAAAAAATATATATATATATATATGTGTGTGTGTGTGTGTGTGTGTATATATATATATATATATATATATTTTTTTTTTTTTTAATTTCAGAGAGGAAGGGAGAGGGAAAAAGGGATAGAAACATCAATGATGAGAGAATCATTGGTAGGCTACCTCCTACTGGGGATTGAGCCTGCAACCCTGGCATGTGCCCTTGACTGGAGGGTTAAATGAGATTGCATACTGTCTGTCTTAACACTAAATAGTAGCTTTTGTTATTTTTTGTTATTATTCTGGGTTAATGACTGTAGTATCTAAATAAAATTAGACAGAAATAAGATTGTCTTATTTCTCTCATTTCAGTTATCGTTTCTCAGTCACTGACATTTTAACCCCAACTTTAAGAAAGTGGTCAGTTTAAATCTTTATGAAATGAATTAATAGTTATTGTTCTGTTACATTTAATTCTTATTTTCTTTCTTTGCCTAAAGCTGAACTTAATGTGGTCATGCTTCAGGAATCTCGAGTTTATACTATGAATACCAGGCAACAATTCTGTTATGAAAATGTGCTTATCCCAAAGTGGCATGATATATGGACACGGATACAGGTAATAATTTGGAGGCCCCTGGCAGGGGCAGCTTTTGTGAATGTTTGTGTTAGTGAGCACTTGGACACTTATTTTCTGTCGCACATAATTAAAAAAAATTTTTTTAAATTGATTTCAGAGAGGAAGGGAGAGGAAGAGAGAAACATAAATGATGAGAGAGAATCATTGATCGGCTGCCTCCTGCATACCCCCTTCTGGAGAACGAACCCAGGACCCTTCAGTCCACAGGTTGTGGCTCTATCCACTGAGCCAAACCAGCTAGGGCAGTGGTCGGCAAACTGCAGCTCACAAGCCACATGCGGCTCTTTGGCTTCTTGAGTGTGGCTCTTCCACAAAATACCTCGTGCAAGCGCTCACGTACAGTGCGATTGAAACTTTGTGCCCAAGCGCAGAAGTCGGTTTTCAGCTCTCAAAAGAAATTTTAATCCTTGTACTGTTGATATTTGGCTCTGTTGACTAATGAGTTTGCCGACCACTGAGCTAGGGCTACCCACAAGTTTTTAAAAAGTATTATTAGCAACCTTGGCAGGGTTGAGATTATCCTGAATTGTGTTTTCATCAATAAGCATTTTTTTTAACTTTATGTTCCTCTCTGCTTATTTAAGTAGCTTATAATACTTTACTCTGAGGTAAACTTCCTCCCTTTCCCAAAGAAACTTCTTTCTTCTGTTGCCCTTTTCTCCCCCCCCCCTCCCCCCCCACACACACACCCTACACATCCTCTTCTTTTTAAAGGCCTTCTACCTTCTTTGGCCTGGAAACTGTTGTGTGTCTGTCAGGATGTAAACTCTTTTGCCTTGCTGCTCTTATTTTTATTCTGCACAGGATGTTTCATAAGCCTCTTGAACTGAAGTTTCCCCTTGATAGAATGAATGACTTTGGTCTCATTTATTTCATAACACCATTAAACCACCTGGCAAAGCAAGAGTGTCTGGCTGTAATAGTGATTGAACAAAATGAGTCCTTTCGAAAATGGTACTACTCTCATAAGCGTAGTTACTAATAAGGGCATTTGTTGTTCACATCAAAAACATAAGGGTGGGCTTGTGGGTTTTTTTAATTCTCGTTTTTTATTGTATGATATAAAAGACATATTCCATCTGGGGCAAATTATAACCAACATGTACCCGTAATCAGTGATTTGTGACAAAGGGTTGAATTTCTCAGCCTGTCATTATAGGAAACCTTTTTGGGGCTGTTTATGCCTGGTAATTTTCTTAATATTCTAGGCCCTGGCTTTGTATGATCTCTTATAAATAGCTGTATTGTGGAAGTCTTTTTTCTCCCTATGTTCAGGCCTACTAGTAGATTCAGATCATGTTAACTATAAGACATTCTAACAGCTGCCTCTCTGTACCATGTGCAATGTTTTTTGTTCAATTATGTTTTAGCCACTGCATCTTTATATTTCTTGTAAGCCTTGTGGAAAACTAGTGCCATTTCTGATTTAGATATTTACTCTAAAGTTTTGTGTTAATTTAAAATTTTTATTTGTGAAAAATTCATTTCTATTTTGTGTTACAGATTCGGGTAAATAGTTCCAAACTGGTACGAGTCACCCAGGTGGAGAATGAGGAGAAGCTGAAGGAGCTGGAGCAGTTTAGTATCTGGAACTTTTTTTCTTCCTTTTTAAAAGAGAAATTGAATGACACCTATGTTAATGTGGGACTATACAGCACAAAAACCTGCCTCAAAGTTGAGATTATAGAGGAAGACACCAAGTACAGTGTCACTGTGACCCGCAGTAAGTCTCACCTGTGTTTTTATGATGGATTCTATAGTGAGAAGGGACTGAACTTTGGAGGGTATAATTAGTGAGAAAGAGAAGTCGGCCCAAGATAATTCCATTTTGGTTCTGATTATAACCTGAGTTCCCTGCTGCTGCAGACAGTTTAGAGAGGCTCCACCCCACAGAAAGCCCGTTAGGCCTAGAGGTGGACTTCACATTAGATCATTTATAAGTACCTCCTTACCTAGAATTGTGAAGATACGCATTCTTAATCTTCCCAATGGCTCTGACCTGATATTCCTAGGATTTCTCAGAGTTTAAAGTGTATTCCTGCCTTCTGGGCACTTCTAGACAAAGATAGGTGTCCCGAAATGTACAGGTCTACATTTGAAGACATGAACGGTAAATAATAAAAACTGAAGAGTCCTAGCGACTAAGGTATCATTTATGTTTCTTTCATATTTTTTTTTATATATATTTTTATTGATTTTTTTACAGAGAGGAAGGGAGAGAGATAGAGAGCTAGGAATGTCGAGAGAAACACCGACCAGCTGCCTCTTGCACACCCCCTACCGGGGATGTGCCCGCAACCAATGTACATGCCCCTGACCGGAATTGAACCTGGGACCTTTCAGTCCGCAGACTGACGCTCTACCACTGAGCCAAACTGGTTTCGGCATTTATGTTTCCATCTCCCTTCTTCTCTGAAATAATATATATATTATAAATATATATTAGAGGCCTGGTGCAAGAAATTTGCACAAGCGGGGGTGGGGTGGGGGGGAAGGGGATCCCTCTCACAATCTGGGACTGCTGGCTTCTAACTGCTTACCTGCTTGTCTGCCTGATTGTCCTTAACTGCCCTTCCCCTCCCCCCCGGCTGACCACCCCTAACTGCCTCTGCCTGCTGGCCTGATTGCCCTAACTGCCACCCCCGCTGGCCTGGTTGCCTCTAACTGCCACTCTGCTGGCCTGGTCGCTTCTTACTGACACCCCCGACCCCTCCCCGGCCCCCCCCACTGACCTGCTTGCCCCATCTGATTGTTTCAGTTGTAACGGCCCCTGGTTTTTTTTATATATTGGGATATATATATATAATATATAACTGAAGAAAGGCAGAACTGAATATTAGTACTTCATAAGTAAAAAGTATTTGTGGGATGATAAATATGAAGATCACTGCAATTTAAGGCTTATTCAGACATAGGAGAAGCCCTCCCTTCTCTGAATGTCTGAGAAAGTTTCACAGACAAGGTGGATCATTATCCTGTTGAATTCTCTGTGACTTTTGGTCTCTCCCTGGTTACTACCAAGGGTCTTGGATTGTTGTGAGTAATGGAAACATTCTCGGGTTTTGCTACAAAATAGTTTGTGCCTTCTAATTGCCCCAGGGTTACACAGTTCTTTGGATTGGCCTGTTGTTTTTATTGTTGATTGGTTTTTGTATTTCTTTTACATTTACTGATCCTTTTTTTTTTTTTTTTATCCTATTCCATTTGTGGATCTCCCTTAGACACAGCTCTTGAATTTGAAGGCTGTGGGAGGGTCTGGTATGCCCCCAAGGGGCCTCTGCTTGGGCCCTGTGGTCCTGAGTGAACTGTGTTTGAATGCAGGTTTTTCCAACACAGTGATTGTTAGCGAAGGGAAGTAAATGGTGGTGTTGGGCCAGAAGAACAGCCACTTAGAGAACAACAGAGGGCTCAGATCCAAAGTTCTAGGCAAATCTGTTAAATACAAGCCTGAGTGACTTAAGGCTTGAAAGCCAGAGTGGTGGAGACCTCTTGTGGGCAATTGCATGAAGTGCTGATGCCGCTCTGCCTGGCTCTATCCAAAGCAGCTTGGTTTCTTTTAGCCTTGGTGTAGGTAGCCAAAATAAAAATAAGATCTTCAGGAAAGTACAGGTTAGACAGAGACCTAATTACCCTTTCTCTTTGGAAGGGTGTCCCAGCTTTGTGTGGAATTTATAATGCTATTTAGATGGACTGTTTGTACTTAGCTGACCAATAATGTCAGCATTGCCTTTTATTCTACCCAATAATTCCCTTTTATCCATAGTTTCACTTTCTGTGGTTTCAGTTACCTAAATTGTATGCTGCTCTGGGTAGCAGAATAAAGTCTTGTACTATTCCATCTGGATATGAATTGTCCCTTTGTCCAATGTATCCATGCTGTATACCCTCCTGTTGGTCACTTGGTAGCCATCTGGGTTATCAGATTGATTGTTGACTGTTCCCGTATGGCAGTGCTTGTATTCGGGTAACCCTTGGTTTATTTAATAATGGCCCCAAAACACAAGGGTAGTGATGCTAGTAATTTGGATATACCAAGGAGAAGCTGTGAAGTGCTTCCTTTAAGTGAAAAGATGAAAGTTATTGACTTAATAAGGAAAGAAAAAGAATGTTGTATGCTGAGGTTGTTAAGATAAATGGTAAGAATGAATCTGCTATTCATGAAATTGTGAAGAAGGAAAAGAAATCCATGCTAGTTTTGCTGTCACAAGTCAAACTGCAAAAGTTACAGGCACGGTGCATGGTAAGTGCTTAGTTAAGATGAAAAAGGCATTACATTTAGGGCTGGAAGACCTAACAGGAAACATGTTCCAATTGATGAATGTGTGTCGCACCAGAAAACATTGAACCTAAACTAAGACTTTAAGCAGGGAGCCCTGAAATGAATGGCCACGTTTACATAATAACTTTTATTACAATATATTGTTATAATCTAATTGTTAGTTGTTGTTAATTTCTTACTGTACCTATTTTATAAATTAAATTATCATAGCTGCTTTTGTATAAGAAAATACATTTATGCTTCAGTAACATCCACGGTTTCAGATTCCACTGGGGGTCTTGGGCCGTATCCCCCAGCGGATGACTACAATAATACCGTACCTTTAACTGTTTGGTTCTCCTATTAAACAGAAGTCTCTATTTATTTCAGGATTTGATCCCAAACTCTTTCTCGTTTTCCTTCTTGGACTTACGTTATTTTTTTGTGGAGACTTGTTGAGCAGGTAAGTTCCAAGACTAGAGTGCAGATTGACGGGACTCAGACCTGTCCTTGACTTTTATTGTAAAAACTTCAAGTGCTGCCATTTCCTTTTCCAGGACCTTTATGGCTAGGCCATTATCTGCTTGGATAATTTTTTTAAATATATTTTTTTAATTGATTTCATAGAGGAAGGAAGAAGGAGAGAGAGATAGAAACATCAGTGATGAGAGAGAATCATTGATTGGCTGCCTCCTGCACACCCCCTACTGGGGATCAAGTCCGCAACCCAGGCATGTGCCCTTGGCCAGAATCGAGCCTGGGACCCTTCAGTCCACAGGCTGACACTCTATCCACTGAGCCAAGCCGGCTAGGGCTTGGATAATTTTAAAATATATATATTTTATTGATTTTCTACAGAGAGGAAGGGAGAGAGCTAGAGAGTTAGAAGCATCAATGAGAGAGACCCCTGCACATCTCCTGGGGACGTGCCCGCAACAAGGTACATGCCCTTGACTGGAATCTAACCTGGGGCCCTTCAGTCCGCAGGCCGACACTTTATCCACTGAGCCAAATTCGTTAGGGCTGCTTGGATAATTTTTAAAAGTACTTGAATACAGCCGAAACCGGTTTGGCTCAGTGGTAGAGCGTCGGTCTGCGGACTGAAAGGTCCCAGGTTCGATTCCGGTCAAGGGCATGTACATTGGTTGCGGGCACATCCCCGGTAGGGGTTGTGCAAGAGGCAGCTGGTCGATGTTTCTCTCTCATCCATGTTTCTAGCTCTCTCTCTCTCCCTTCCTCTCTGTAAGAAAAATCAATAAAATATATTTATAAAAAAAAAAAATAAAAGTACTTGAATACAGTAATAAGGAAACAAACATTAACCACTTATTCATTTCCTGCCTTTAGGAATTTACTAGGTAAGCTAAGTGAAACTGTACAAATACAAAGAAAAGAGAGAAAAAAGCAAACATTGAACAAAGATAGAATCAACAGTAACTATGTGTACAAGTAAAAAGTATTTATGGAGTAGTGAATAATGAAAGATTAACAATTGGATTTTGAAGTTGGGCTGGAGTGAGGCTGGTGAAAGTTCCTTTTTTGGAGATCCTAAGAGAAACTCAGTGAGGGAGTAATAATTGATAGAAAGAGCCTGGAATAGGAGTAAGAGTGCTCTGTTCTAGGCCCTGTGTTTCGTTTATCCTTCTGGGTGATCAGTTCAGTTGCAGTCTTCACAAGTGCAGTATTGTCCCTTCTTTCTCCCAGAGATGGTATACGGTTACTCAAAAGAAAGACTCTTATAAAAAATGGGGTTGGCTCTGGGACAACTTCAAGCGAACCAACATCAGAATTATGGGGGTCCCAGAAGATGAGAGAGAGCAAGATATCGAAAACATACTGAAAGAAATAGTGACAGAAAACTTCCCCCACCTGGGGAAAGAATTAGACTTACAAGTCCAGGAAGCGCACAGAACTCCAAACAAAAGGAATCCAAAGAGGACCACACCAAGACAAATCATAATTAAAATTCCAAGAGCAAAAGACAAAGAGAGAATATTAAAAGAAGCAAGAGCAAAGAAGGTAGTTACCTATAAAGGATCACCTATACGATTGTCAGCTGACTTCTCAACAGAAACCATGCAGGCCAGACGGGAATGGCAAGAAATATTCAAGGTGATGAATAATAAGAACCTACAGCCAAAGATAATCTATCCAGCAAAGCTATCACTCAGAATCGAAGGTCAGATAAAGAGCTTCACTAATAAAAAAAAGCTAAAGGAGTTCATCAACACCAAACCAGACTTATATGAGTTGCTGAAGGGAGTTCTTTCAGAAGAGAAAGTAAACAAAGATAAAAATTATGAACAACAAATACGTAACTATCAACAAGTGAATCTAAAATCCAAGGAAATTAAAAAAAAAATCTGATGAACAATAGTAACTGTTGAATATAATAGAATCAGAGGTATGGAAGGGGACTGAACTGAAGATTCTTGGGGAAAAGGGGAGAGGGGGGTGTGGGAAGAGACTGAACATAAACTGTGCACCTATGGATGAGGACAATGGGGAGTGGGGAAAGGGCAGAGGGTGGGGTGGGAACCTGGTGGAGGAGAGCAATAGTGGGGGGGGGGGGGGAAGGAACATTTGTAATAATATGAACAATAAAAACTTATTTAAAAAAAAAAAAAATGGGGTTGGGAGAGATGCTGGGGATGAGAGTGGGAGACTAAGCAGAGGTTGATTATTGGGATATACTTGAGGGGACCTCATTGGTACTAATCCTCATAATCTGGGAGTAACTATATTGTTCCAGTTTCTTCAGTTTTCTGACTTCAAGTTTTGAGTAAATACCTGCTCTAATCTTGTAACTTTTTTCTATCTTTTGACTAGGATAGTTGTCCTAGTTGGAGCAATGCCATGTGTGAAGAATACACACATAGTCATGAAATACATTTTCTCTCTGCAGAAGCCAAATCTTCTACTATTCCACTGGGATGAGTGTGGGAATTGTGGCATCTCTGCTAATCATTATTTTCATGCTGTCCAAGTTTATGCCCAAGGTAAGTAGCAGAATACTCAAGTGGTTAAGATGGACCTGGATAATTGAAAGTTAGTTTTTTTTCGGTAATTTAGCAGCACTGAATTTGCATTGATATCTAAGCCAATGTTCTACTCCTTCCTCGATTCAGAAAGGTACTTACCATGATGAAACTTGGAGCCTGATTACATATAAACTCCATTTTTATTTAAAACTAGAGGCCTAGTGTATGAAATTCGTGCATGGGGGGTTGTCCCTCAGCTCGATCTATACCTTCTCTGATCTGGGACTCCTCTGGGGATGTCTGGGACCCCTGTGTGATCGGGCCTAAACTGGCAGTCGGACATCCCTCTCACTGGCTCCTAACCACTTGCCTGCCTGTCTAATCACCCCTAACTGCTTTTGCCTGCCTGCCTGATTGCCCCCTAACTGCTCCCCTGCACAGGCCTGATCATGCCCCTAACTGCTTGTTCCTCTGCTGGCCTTATTGGCCCCTAACTGCCTGCTCCCCTGCACAGACCTTATAATGCCCCTAACTGCCTGCTCCCCCATGCTGGCCTGGTCATCCTCTAACTGCTTGCTCCCTCCTGCTGGCCTGGCTACCTCTTAACTGCTTGCTTCCCCGTGCCAGCCTGATCTCGTTTAACTGCTTGCACCTCTGTTGGCCTGATGGCCTCTAACTGCCTCTGCCTTGGCCTCCACACTGTGGCTTTGTAAGGGAGGAAGTGGGATGTCTGGAAGACATCTGATCAACCCGGTCTAATTAGCTTATTACCCTTTTATTAATATAGATTCTGCGCTTAGTGGGGGATTAAAGTCTCCTTCCTATTTGCAAATTACATAGTCAGGCTTTTAAGTTATTTAGCATCTTATTTTCCCAGTATCCTTTGCAGACTGTACCACTTTCATAGGAAATGTTTGTCAGAGATGTGTTTTTCAGTAGTTTGATTTTTTTTTTAAACATAGTTTCATTTTGCTTTTATGTATGGAAATCTTTTGTAACTTTTTGCTTTCACTTCTACTCTGTTTTAGAAAAGTCCCATTTATTTCATCCTGGTGGGAGGCTGGTCCTTTTCGCTATATCTCATTCAACTAGTTTTTAAAAATTTACAAGAGATCTGGAGGGCCTACTGGCAGTATCTTTTAAGTAAGTGTTGTTGGTTTTGCTTTCCTTTTTATATGTTTATAGGCTATTTTAGTTAATGAAATTAACTTTTAGGAGTTTAATAGTCCATGCCTTTTTATTAACTTTTAAAAATCATAGTTCTTCACTTATTTCTAACCCTTCTAGAGTTGTTACCTTCTCTTAAAATGATGCTGCTCGGAAGAAGACTTTAATTTGTGTTGTAGATAAGTACACCTTTCTGTATATAACAGGCATCTTTCTGAAAAACTGTAAATTGACTTTATTAATTTAATTGTATTTATTTTTATTGTTGACAGTATTACAGATGTCCCCAATTTTTTCCCTTCCTTTGCCCCCCTCCACCAAGCCTCCACCCCACCCCAGGCTTTCACCACACTAGTGTCTGTGTCCATGAGCTGTGCATCTCTATCCTATGCAAATTTACCATCACTCCAACACACAAGATAGCTGTTCTGATGTGAACACAAGATGGTCACCACAAGATGGCTGACAGGGGAGGGCAAGTTGTGGGCGATCAGACCAGTAGGGGAGGGCAGTTGGGAGGGACCGGGCTGCAGGGGAGGGCAGTTATGGAGGACCAGGCTGGCAGGGGAGGGCAATTAGGGGTGACTGGGCCGACAGGGGAGGGCAGTTGAGGGGGACCAGGCCTTTAGGGGAGGGCATTTGGGGGGGACCAGGCCTGCAGGGGAGGGCAGTTAGGGGCAATGGGGTGGTAGGGGAGCAATTAGGTGTCAATCAGGCTGGCAGGGGAGTGGTTAAGGGGTGATCAGGATGGCAGGCAGAAGCAGTTAGGGGCAATCAGGCAGGCAGGCAGGTTGGTAGTTGGGAGCCAGCAGTACTGGATTGTGAAAGGGATGTCTGACTGCCCAATCCATGGGATAGAGCCTAAACGGGCAGTCGGACATCTCTCTAGGGGTCCCAGATTGGAGAGGGTGCAGGCTGGGCTGAGGGACACTCCCCTGTGCATGAATTTCGTGCACCACGCCTCTAGTATATATAAAAGCCTAAGCGACTATTCTGACCGAACAACTGAAATGACCGGAACAACCAGCCGACTAGTTGATTTGACCTGCACTGGCCACAAGGGGCAGATACTTAACACATGCATTGCCCCCTGGTGGTCAGTGCACTCCCACAGCCAACATCCCAAGGTTGCACCCCCCCAGTTGACTATCCCCCATCGGCCCGTGGTGGTAAACCATTTGTAGACTATCTGCTTCTGGATTGGAGTTTCATACGTAGCAGAGCAGCTCTCTCACTGCCATCTTTTGAAAGTCAGCCTTCAACACGAGGGTTTGTCTCACTCTCATTCTCTCCCTTCCCTGGGGGCTACCCACCCACTGTGGGAGGAGGATGGGAGGATGCAGGGAACCACGCGGTGGCGGGGCAGCATTGGCAGCCAGCGGCTGTTCCTTCCACGCCCGGTCCAGTGACCATCGCCTCCTCTCTCAACCCCACCAGGGCCTTCAGACCCCTGGTAACTGGGGGTGGGTGGTGGCAGATGTGGCCCCTTTCCCAGTGGGCTGAGGGCCAGCTCCCTCCTTGGAGCTGGCGGCCAACCACCCACGGTCCCTCCCTCCATGCACGAATTTGTGCACAGGGCCTCTAGTATTCATATAAGTTCTTTACTTAGCTTCTTCCTGTCCCTCCAACCTCCGTCCTCTCTGAAATCTGTCAGTCTGTTCCAGGCATCCATGCTTTTGGACCTATTTTGTTCTTTAGATTCCACATATAAGTGGGATCATGTGCTATGTGTCTTTCTCTGACTGGCTTATTTCACTTAGCATAATAATCTTCATTGATTTTTAGAGAGAGTGGAAGGTGGAGAGAGAGAGAGAGAAACATCGATGTGAGAGAGACATGGATTGGTTGCCTCCCCCACACACCCTGACCAGGGCCAGGTATCGAGCCTGCAACTGAAGTATGTGCCCTTGACCAGAATCAAACCTGGGACCCTTCAATCCTTGGGCTGACACTCTATCCACTGAGCAAAACCGGCTAGACCATATATAGTTTTTTTTTAAACAAGACTATTCTAGAGTTGTTCAATGTGTAGCAGTGCTTCATTTGATGCAGATAAATTAGGGATAAAGGGAAGGATGGAAGCTTGAAATGATAAAGATATCTGAATAATAGCAAAATGTATGATAATTGAGTAATGATCTTGTCTATTTTCCTGGTTTAGTTGGTACTATATAGTCACTTATTGCTGTTCCCCACACAAATTATTTTACAAATGTCTTCTTTTAACTCTTCTCATAGCTTATGTCCTTGCAGTTGGATTTATGAGTTTTGCAGTCTGTTACAAGCTTGGGCCCTTGGAGAATGAACGAAGTATCAACCTGCTGACCTGGACCTTGCAGCTGATGGGCCTCTGTTTCATGTATTCTGGCATCCAGATACCAAAGATTGCTTTGACCATTATCATCATTGCTCTGTGTACTAAGAACCTGGAGTACCCTATTCGGTGGCTGTACATCACCTACAGGTGACTAAAAGGCAATGTAACTATTGAAATGTGCAGTGTGTTGATAGAGTCGCAGCAAAAGGATACAAAAGTGTTGACCTGAAAGCCTCTTTGCTAATGAAAATTTATTGTATTATTGCTTCTGAGTTTGTCCTTCTTGAGTCTCTCTCTCTCTCTCTCTTTTTTAACTCTTTATAGGCATTTTTTATAGTTTTATTATAGTTATTTTATCCACTTAAGTGTGATGTGTTCATGTCACCACTAGATGGGGCAAAGTATATTACTTTTATATTAAATGCCTCCAGTTACATGGTTTCAGAGTATTTCACGTTGGCTCTCAGATTGCTCTGGGAGTCTTGGTCCTTTTTTTTTTTTCTTTTTTCTTTTTCTTCTTTTAATTGATCCCCCCCCCCCCCCCCCCCCGCTCTGTAGAGAGAAAAGAAGGGAGAGGAAGAGAGAGAAACATTGATCAGCAGACTTCTGCATGTCCCCTACTGGGGATAGAGCTCACAAGCCCGGTATGTGCCCTGACCAGGAATCGAACCATCAACCTTTCAGTCCATTGGATGATGCCCAACCAACTGAGCCACACTGGTCTTAAGATGTAATTCATAGTCTTAAGATGTAATTCACCTTGCGTAGGGAATATGGAATGGTCTCAGGTTGCAATGGTGATTCTGTTACAGATAGTCCAGGGTGATATCTTCAGTTTGGGGAACAAAGTTAATGGACCACAATTTTACAGCATCATTTTTGGTCATTTTTCCAGTTTTTGGAAAATAAATACTTTATCGTTTATTGGCAAATAAGTGAATTTACTCAGATTAGTGAATAATAATTGACTATTCTGACTTGTCACTAATAGTTTGACATGTCAGGAGTACATTATAACTAAAGCATGGTCATAGTTCAATTCCCGGACAGGGCACATACCTGTGTTGTGGGCTCAATTCTCAGTGTGGGGCATGCTGAACAGCTGATTAATGATTCTCTCTTATCATTAATGTTTCTGTCTTTCCCTCTCCCCTCCTCTCTGAAGTCAAGAAGGTCAGGCTCTCTGCTGTATGCCTGGCCCACTGAAGGGAGATAGAGGTAAGGGTACATGTAGATTACTGATTAATGATTCATGGTGTTATTTTGGTGAGCACAGAAAGATGTGTAAGGCAACAGAAAAGATTGTCCCCCCTCGTCTCCTGACAGAAGAAGAGTATCGGATACAAGGAGAGGTGGAAACTCAAAAGGCGTTAGAGGAGCTTCGAGAATATTGTAACAGTCCAGACTGCTCTGCTTGGAAGACTATTTCTCGAATCCAGTCTCCAAAGAGGTAAACTCTTGGCCAGATATGCCAAGCATCTTTCAGAGTGACTGTGACCTTGAGTTTTAACAGATCATACTTCTAGGTAATAATTTTGTATTTATGGCTTTATTTTCCTGTTCATCTAGTAGTCAAGAGGAAGGTTATGTAATCATATATTAAGCGGAGCCTGTGTTTTAGTTCCTCAAGGAACTATCTACTCTAGCTTTGATTGTAGCATAGACATGAGAAGATTCCACTACCCTTCAGTACATATCAAGTACATATTCCAGTACATGTCAAGTGTCCCTTCTGATAGTATTGCATTACTCTTTGAGTGGTGTTTTCTGTTTGTTTGCTTTCAGGGAAGAGGGTTGGGATTATTTTTTCCTTTTTATTTGGGAGCAACTATACCAGTGAGTATGTGAAGCTTCAACTTAGAATCCTGATGGCATAGAATTTATAGGACCATAAACATGAATGAATGTGTAATGACCCTTAATCCTTTTTTATCAGAATTACAGGTGTCTAAAGGAACCTTGGCACTTCCATAGCTACAAAGGATAGGCTAGTGCTTATTAAGCAGGATGAGATTGCAGGGGATGTTGGCCTATGACCCCAGCTTTCCTTTTCTCCTTGTCTCTTGTTTTAGTCAGTGTAATTTGAGTAGATCAAGGGTTTAAATTTATTCTTATTTTGAAATAAAAATAGAAAGGGCAGAAGGTTCCTAATGAATATTATCTTCTCTTTTCCAGATTTGCTGACTTTGTGGAAGGTTCTTTTCACCTCACACCAAATGAAGTTTCTGTCCATGAGCAGGAGTATGGATTAGGGAGCATTATTGCCCAGGATGAGATCTATGAAGAAACATCCTCTGAGGAGGAGGACGCAGATTCTCAGTACCCCACTGTCATGCAGAACAACTTTTTGACTTAGGTAGAAGTCAATTATTTTTATGTGGACTGGCTTGGTACCTTGAAGGTCCATGTCGCATATGTTGTGCATTATGCTTCTCAGCTTGAGACAGAGTGAGATACTGCAGGAATTCTCCCACTGAAATTAGAAGCCTGAGTAGGCCTCCCTCTGGAAATGGCCTTGGTGGTCTTTGTGGGATCCCTGGGGAATGGGAGTGGATAAAGTACTGAATGCTCCCCTTGGTTAAGCAGTCAGTTCACCTATTATGTTTCCAAAGATACTGGATGAGCACAGCTAGCATAGCATTCTAGCTCCTCTTTTGGAAGTTGATTAGTCATGGTACTTCTACCACTTTGATTGGCACTCGGAAGTGAGAACTGTTATCTGGGTTGTATTTTTCAGAGAGAAACCCACAAATCTAAGCCTCTTTCACTTCTACTTTTATTCCAGTGACTTTAGAATAATTCTTGTTTAAAGAGGAAAATGGATTTTTATTTGTTTGTCTTATTTAAGTAGACATATGTAATTTTAATTTCTTAAAACTTCTGTTCCAGAATCAGCAAGTGTTCCCTCGTGACAAGCCCCTTAGGCCCTTACGTATTTATTAATATGATTATCCATTAAAGCCCCAGAAGCTGTTGTGTTGACTTTGAATTGGGTTCTCATACATGATATTCTGAGTCCTGCTTTTAGGAACATGCCTATTGGCTCTTCTGTAGGGCAGGTGTGTTGGGCTCTTTATTATATTCAGCTTTTAATTCCATCTTAAAAATAAATTTGCATTCTTTCCTTCTCATTCCTCCTAGCTTCCTTTGCCCTTTTATGAAGGGTCTGTTCCCATACCTGTAAAGTATGTACAGTTCAGAGTTTGTTTCATTTCTTATAGTCTCTTCCCCTTGGTTTTTAGCATTATTCCTGCTATTTAGGAGAAGTGATCTTATTTAGGGAATTTAAATGGTTTTTATAGGTTCTCCTTTTTTTTTTTTTGTGAGTGAGTCACATATCTTTGAGTTGCTGTCGAATTAGCAAACTATCTCCTTTTCCTTTCTTTCCTTTGTCTATTCATTCTTCCTGTTCTTTTCTGTCTTTTGTAACCCCCCCAATGAGCTCTGGCTAATTTTGTAAGCCCTAAAACAATTAAGTTTCTTGATACAACATACAAGATGTAGTTATGTAGCTGCTACAGTTTGCATTGCTAGAAAATAGACCTTCAGTTAATCTTCATGCCTCTGGATGCTCCAACTATCAGCATCATATTTTTTTAAAGATGGATTATATATACATTTTTAAAAATTGATTTTAGAGAGAAACATCAACTCGTGTTACACTCATTTGTGTATTAATTGGTTGATTCTTGTATGTGCCCTGACCAGGTATTGAACTCCCACATATCCTTGGTGTATTGGGATGACACTCTAATCAACTGAGCTACCCAGCCAGGGCTAGACACATTTTTCCATGAATTTATTATATACTTAATGTTTCATTTCTGACCAGAGGTTTATGTGGCCTTTTATTATAGTGACATTAGTTTCAGATTCTTTTGCCATTGGAAAATACCCCTATAAATCAGCAATGCCATTTATGAGGGAGTGACTTTCCACATCTCTGTCATTAGCTGGTTTTGTCTTTGTGATCTTCACCCTCGTACCTTGAAAAAAGCTATAATTACTCTATCCAGGAAGATAGCGCTGATGGTAAGAGCACAGCATTAGACTTCCTGGATTACCATGAGCATGGAGATGATTTGTTAAAAAGTCTTTATGACTCCTTCAGACCAGCCATTTAGCAGATTATTTTGAAAGACCCTGGGCTCCATTACTGCCTTTCAAAATGTCAGTTCTGAGCCTCCTCTCCAGGTGATTATTTCCAGCAGTGTTTCCCACAGCCATAAACTGTCTCAAAGTGACAAGTACCTCAGTGGCAGCAAATAGACATAATGAAAAGTGAAAAATAAGCAGTGTTGGGGCAGATGCTGTCGGTTAAAGTTGCAGAGTAAAGGAGCTCTATATTGGGAAACCTTAATGCCTTTGTGAGTTATGTACATGGTAAAATGTTATCCCTCTACAAAGAACTGTTAAGACCTTTGGAGTATACTATTTTTTTTGTCCTTATTTACAGAAATTGAGACCTAGGCTATTTGAACCTAAGTTGATTTGAAGAAGTAATTCGGCTATACAAATAGTTGATTCCCTGTCTCCAAATAGCTAGTAGGGAGGGTGGTAGCTTGCTCCAGGGTGACTTCCTGATTCATGTCTTCATTTCAGTGAGAAAGCAATGTGAGTTAGGGAAGGATTTCTCTCTTTATGTTTAGTAAACTCCTTGTGAAATTAAGTTTCCATCTCAAGACCAGTTACTTTCACTGTGTTTGAATTTAGGGTGAATAAAATTGAACTCAGTTTATTACTTCCTGTCTGGTAGTTGGAGACCTAGCTGTAGGCTGCGGAGATGACAGTGGGTCCCGCAGCATGAGAGCTGCTCTCAGATAGTGAAGGACGGTGCCTGGGGGTGCTGCGTGTGCTTGCCCTGCCTGCCTGTGTGGCTCTGTCCCAGATGCTTCCGAGCTCCCGTGTGCCTGGAGATTGCTGAACTTAGTAAACCTTTAGAAGCTGCTCTTGTCTCCCTCTCCGCCACTTAGTGTACTGGCTCAGTCTCTACTTAAAGCCCCCATTTAATTTTCTCTGGCAGTTACAGCTTTTGCAATTTCAGCAGTCTCATCTCTTAGACTGATCTCATCAAGGAGGATTGAAGGGATAACTATGAAGTGAGCTGGACATTGGAACCACGTCTGCTGCCATGTCAGCATTTTGCTCTGCAAATATCAAGCTACAAATTGGTCCTAGGGCCCAGGGACTCATCGGCATTCGAAATCTATTGCCTCTCATCAGCCTGACCAAGTTGGTAGAGCATGTCCTCATTAATATAAGAGCCAACTGGCCGAAAATATTTCCCCTTGACTTTCCCACTCAGAGTACTTCCATGAAACGAATGACCAAAACTACGGAAAATTTAGTAGCTTTGATATCTTCCAACAAATTTCTGTCAGCCACTTCATCTCACCAAAACTAGTTTATGTCTTCCCCCCCAAATTCATGAATTTTATGTCTTGTACAAAGGGTATTTTACTGGTAATAGTTTTGTTTTAGTTCCAATGTTTCATTTTGTGCTAATACATCCCACTCTAGGCCCTAACCCTCTCTTCATTGACTATGTTCCCTTCAATCTAATCTCCACTGAGCATAGATGATAGAGATGTGATTAATAAAAGAACCCAAATAGGCCAGATAGTCACCCCAGGCCCTGATATCCATAAAAGGTTGGGGCTGGATTATGCAGTTGTCCTCAATCTTATTGTTGTTCTAGAAAAAAAAGGAAAAAAAAAAAAAAGATGGGCTCAGATGGTTGCTTGCACAAAAATGGTTCTTAGCTGTTTACTCATAACTTTTCTCTGAATTGAGTAGTGAGAGTTGAAGTAGGAGGAAAGGAAATTAAATGCCCTTCTTGTATTCCTTTGGACTTAGGCCTGACATATGAGATAACCTATATTGAAATGCCAAGAATTTTATCTGAACCAGGGAGAGGACAGTTTGACAGATTTATTATGCCTTCATGTTACACAGGAACAGAAACTAAGTAATACGCATAAAAATAGCCATTTTACAAGGCAAATGCACTTACGACCTTTTGCTTCTGTTTTGATGTAGCAGAAATGACTTTTTTAGGGAATCCTATGCAATTGTAATCTGATGGTGTCTCTTGCTAACTTAGCTTATGGACTCAGTTACTGTTGAGTTGGATTCTACATGGTTACTACCTTCAAAAGGGTTTTCAGTGCCTTACGTGATGGAAGCCGGAGCCTGCTAGGAATAAACGATGCAAATTCACGGGAATGTCAACGCACAGCTTTAGTGAGGATGGGAGCGGCACACAGTGGAGTTCCATGCCCCAGCCCATGTGTGTCATCTTTCTCTTCACTCTCTTGACAATAACTTGAAAATGGTGAAATCACATTCTCTGAACTTTTCCAGTATATGGACAACATTTTTATTATGTTAGCATAATAGATAACTCATAATGTATTAGAACTGTTACAGCCTGCAATTGCCTCAGTTTCCCGTGATGGTGAAATAACAGGGGTAATGAGTCTCTGGGTAGGTTTTAGCTTGTGAGTAATGCCTTAGTGTTACTTTAAAATATTTTTTATTTTTATTTAAAATAAATATTCATAAATGTTTGAAAGGAACAAAATTATCAGGGATGGCTCTTTGCCATGGGTCTCATTTTCACTCTTTTCTGTAAGAAAAAAATGTCAATGTTTTATTATATATTTTTTCATTTTTATTGTACAAGTTTGTAAGTAACTCCAATTTTAATAAAGTTTTATAGACTGTATATTGGTTTCTCTTAATGAGCATGTACTTCTCTAGTTTGGATCTCTTATTTTTAGTTAATGAGTAATTAGCTCCTCAGTCTCATCTTTTTAATGAGACCATTTGCATGCCGTCTATTTTCCCTTTTCTTTCTCAGCCACTGCTGCCCATCTCGGGCATCTCTTGCTCTACTTTCATCCCCGGGCTGGATGATTTCCCAAGAAGCCAGATCTCTGAAGGCTATTCTTACAGAAGTAGCAGGTTGTGCTATTGTGCTGTCTCATAAAAAACAATATATAGGTTATTCCTGGTTCAGGGAGCTACTCTGTGCTTTAGTTCTTTAAATTTTAAAAAATGTTATAAAGTATTTGTTTTAATTTCCACTGGGATGAGGGGCAGACTCATGGATCCTGCTGTGAAATGCCTGCCAAAAACTTTGAGTGGGATGGAAGAGGGAGTAGGGCTGTAGTGAGCATTAGGGGGCATGGAATAAAACCAATTGTGTCTAGGCCCCGCTTCTGCAGTGGGATCTGAATCTTCTGTTTTTATGTTTTGGCTTTTTTCTTTGCTCTGGGAATCTGTTAGAACATTTGCATTAATTCTGTACCTGCCTACTCTTTTCTTAGTTATTCAGATTACATAGAAACCCAT